CATTTAAGTTTATTTTTTATGGTGTTAAAATAAATTATATCTGCACTTAATTCCCAAAATAAAGCGTGGACTATATATATATATATATATATATATATTTATATATATAGTTGCTTCGAGTTTTTACTAAAGACCCTGGTTGCACAATACATGTACTTACTTTTTTATCGAAAATTTGACCATTGCTCCTGCAACAAAATAACATATTTGACGGTTATTATTTTTGTTCTTATTACTCGAGTTGTTGGCAGCTTATTAGACGGTTTTTATAACGAAACTTTTATAGACCAATTATTTGATATGATGTGTTTTTATGAAAATGTAAATTGGAGATTTGATATTGAATTTTTTTTTTTTGAGATTTGAATTGTTCCACGCATGAAATTCCCTGAGATAAAGATGCCTGGCAAGACAACCTTGGTTTTCAGCTTTTATAGTAGAGCATGATATGACTTGTATTTTCATTAACAAAAGCAAAAGCCTAGCCAAAGCTTTTTAGCTGATTAGGGTGACAAGGCAGGCACCGCCCCATCTCAACTCTTAATATTATTTGCCCAACTAATTATATTCACTTATGCTAAATTTCTCCACAGAGGGGACGATGAGAAGATGCCAAATTCCCATCTCAAAAAGCTTCTTTTGCTTCTAAAAAGTAGCCACACCTTCCTCATTATAATATTCTTTTTAACTTTTTAAGCCCCTTTTCCCCCCAAGTTTATATGTCGAATCCTTAAAGCGTTTCTAACAATAGAAAATCCCACTTAGATGAAGCCACACATGAAAAGCTACTTTTTTTTTTTCCCCATTTATTTTCTCTCTTCCCACTTATTAATGTTGTTGAATTTTGTCAATCCCCCCAACCCCCAAGCCTACTTTACACACAAGCTTTGCTTTCTAGCTTTCCACCCCACAAGATTAACCTAAAAGCTTCCCCTGGCTTTCCCACGTTGATGATGAATAAAGCAAGCATGCCTACGTAATTATCTTTTCAGAACTTGTAATCAGATTCACTTAATATCCCTTAAAGCCATGTTTTAATCACTGTGATTACATTTAAGTTATGAGCAATCTCTCAGATTCCCACACATATATCCCTTCAAGGACCCTACCCTAATTCATATATACCTAGTCATTATTGTACGATACAGTAACCCCCCCCCCCAAAAAAAACCCTCCTTTTATTTAATCACCGGTCGTATATTCACCGTGCAACTTTCACTTTCTACTGTGTCTTAATCTTTTTTCCTTTAAATATGTTCATCATTATCGCAAACATCAATAGTAAAAGCAACCCAAAATGTGCATGCACGTAGCTTTTCAGGCACAGTAGTGTTTCTTAAGCAATTCCTCAGGTACGACTCTAAATTTTTATATATGTCAAATAGTGAGACTCGAAGAATAATTTGTTATTAATTGGATATTTCTTTTGTTCCAATTATTCAGTGATGCGTATAACTGAATCAAAATACAACTATGAACAGTAAAGTGTGTCTTGAGCTAAGATTGGGACTGATCTGATGTACGCGCATTAGAATATCTGAGATTAGCATTTAGTGGAGAAAGTAATAAACTAAGTGACATTATATATGGTCATGTTTATCTAGTATATATGTAGGCCCTATGTATATAAATTTACTTTGAAGAGGGACATATCATTGTCGCCTTATTCATCTTAAGGACCTACAGAAATTGGAAATGCATTGAATATACAATATGTGTACCAACACAGTTTCAACTAATTTCATAATTGCTTGTTTTGTCATCTCTCCCTCTCTCCCTCTCTCTCTCCCCCACCCCCTTCTTACTTAGTTATCTGATCTCCAACTGGGTCGAATGCATCTATGGATTTAGGTGGCATATTTAGTAGCACCGGACCTTTGACATGGACAGCATCCATAACTTTGTCTTCCAATCATATTAAATATTGCAGCCAGCCTCCATAATTTGCTTTTGTTCTTATTTTGTATAACCAGTACATATAATAAATTATTATTTCTTACATGCAAATGTGTTTTCCTATAGTTAAATTCATATTAAATATTATGCTGTTACTTTATCAGATTTTTACGCACCACCTAATATTTTTTGACAAAAAATGGCAGGAAGGAGATGTGCATCTCCAATTCCACAGGACATGATGCTACTGGCATGTTATGGATATACAAACCCATGAGATTATATTACTTCATAATCTTAAATGGTATAATTTTCATCTCATTGTAGCTATTCATTAATCCCTAAATGTTATTACCTCTTGTCCTTAAATGATTATATCTTATATTAAGAACCAGAGATAGAATTAGAATCTTTTTGTGAAGTTATCGCCCCTCAAATAAGACTTTGGATGATTTTAAGATATCTGAATCTACATGTATGAATGAGGTGGGAGCTTTTCCTGAATCCTTGACCAATAGGGCCAACTTGCACCAGCATTGTTACAAATATGTCAAGTTTTCAAATGAAAGACCACCAGAATTTGAGGCTTAAATTTTGCTTCAATTAAACTTTGTGATGAGAATATATATATTACATATTTTTATATATGCTGTTAGGAGACACAAATGTTTTATCGCGTGGCCTAGTTAGCAAAACACAACTTTTGTTTTGATTTCAATAAAAAAAAAGGTGGTACAGATCTTCAGGGGTTCGTAAATGAGGTTTATTTGCCAAGAAATTATCCGAAGTGATTAGCTCATTGGTTAGAATGTCACCTTCAAGGTGGTCCTATATCCATTTTTCATTTTTCATTTTTCTTGTTAATAAAACATCTAATTTCTCGAATAAAATATTTATCAATAATCCCCATGTGAAGTATGCAGTTTCCTGTCCTTAGGGCAATAAATGATAGCGTTATAACAACCACATGTGTTTATGATTTTGTGATAGATATTAAAGGATTATATTCTGCATAAAACACAACTGATAAATAGTACTCCTCCGGTCCTAAATGTAAGACCCTTATACACACTAGTATAAGGGTCTTACATTTAGGAGCGGAGGAGTATATTATTCAACATCATCAATATATGGAAGACTATTATAACTTGACACAGCGGCATCAATCAGGAAACTTCTCAGAAAATTAATGTTCATTCACTGTTCAGTATTCTCTTGCCGTTTCTAAAATGATATAAACAGTTTCTACTTGCTATGCTTTGTATTTGTCACTTCTTAAACCACCAAATCTCATCTCACTTTCAATCTATATATTGATTCAGACCAGCTTCTTCCAAATTTCTTCCCACCCTTCTGGTTCTGATATCTGTTATTGCCTCTTCGTATGCACATATGTAAATCTCAAATAAATCCTATTGGTTCGCATGATTGTCTCTGTGAACTTATTAGAAAAATGATATTTTGTCACTTTCCAGGCAAAAAATGCATCTATATATATATATATATATATATTCTCCATTGCGAACTGTTTCTAAAATTTATCTAGCTTCGTGTGTGATAAAATTAAGGCTGTCGTAGAAAATGAAGACCATTTCTTTGACACGCCCAAACTTAAACTCAGTGGGAAACTTTAAGTTGCATGCTGTAGTTTCAGGTGTAAATTCTATTGTGAGATAAATAATTAAGTGTAAGAAAATAACAACATGGATAATGATGAAAGGTGAGAAGATTGAGGAACATTAGAGGCAGAAGAAGGAGAAGTAGAGGAGGAGGGAATCGTGTAAAGTCATTCAGGGCCTGAGATATAAGAAAGTGAGATTAGAGAGACAGAAAAGAGACACAGAGGTACACTGTAAGAGACTCTTTTTTTTTTTTTTCCATCCCCACAGTTTTCTATTTTTTGGTCAAAACCCACAGTTTTCTATTTGAACAACTATCATAATGATAAGTCTATAGTAATAGGCTCATGCATGTATGCTGTCATGTGTACCATGCCCTTGACTTTTTCTTCTTTGTTAAACCGTTCCCATTTTAAAGAGCAAGGAGAAGAAGAACAAGAAGCATGTACTGATCCAATATGAATTAAAGTGAAGTGAGTTGGTGTGTGACATTATGCTTTCAGAAGAAGAGCAAACACCAGAATTTGGCGCCCTTTTCCTGCTGGGGCTGAATATGTATTGGTCTTGTACTATTGACTTTAATTGATGTTCATAAGTCACCCTCACATTATCATTTTGTGATTTTGGATTTTGATTAACTTCATCTATTTCGAAGTTTGCAGTTATAGAATCATTCGATTTTCAAGTGCTCAAGTGTTTAAGCTAATGGTCTGTTTGACAAATTTATAATTATGAGCTAATGATTAGCTTTGTTTGTTAGAAAAGATTGGGAATTAAGGAACACAAACAAAATGTTTTGAAAATTTTAGTCAACTTGAGGATGAAAGTATAAAACAAGAAAGAAAAAATACATGCAATATTAAAAAAAAGTAAGGAGATGATTGTTGATGATTTTTATACGACACTGTAGGGCAAGAAACATTGGTCCACTATATTCGTCTTAAATGTTGACAGTATGCCTCCGAAATGTCAGAGTTTGTTCCTTTTGGTTTTTGCCCCTGAAGTAATTGGGCCTCACGTGGGCCCATGCCGGTCTTGCAGACGTCATAAGGAGCCTGGCTAATGGCAATTGGATCTTAAAAGAAGTAGGCCTTCAAAGATATAAAAGCCCATTAGTGTGCAAGATGGCAACTCATAAGGATTTTGTTTCGCTTCAAATACCCAAAAAACAAAACCACTTCAATCTGTAACCAAAACAAAAAAAGAAAAAAAGAAGAGAAAAAGAAACTGGCTTCAATCCACCAATAAAGATTAGTCCAGGTCATAAGAATTTGACTTATAATTCACAAAGTTGTGGATTCAAATTCTTTTTCGTAAAGATTTTGCTAATGAACAACTTGTAATTACATCTGTAAACTTTTAGTTTCAATCCCACGAAAATTAATGGGGAAAAAAAAACTAATTACATCCCTAAATAATAAGTAAAAATACAGGTAAAAAAAAAAGTAACAATAATTCCCATTGTGCTTCTATGGGCGCGTGTAATTATGACTAGTCTCTTGCAAGCATGGTCATGAGACTCTCATAAAGATCCATTTATAGATTCTTTCTATTTTGACTGCAAAATTTCCATGTCCCCAACACAACCAAAGGTAACAACGGTTGTAAGCGATGTTCCTTCAACAAGCACTTACATCAAATTAATAATTAAATTCAAAATTTTAGGTGGAGCCAAAAATTACCCCAAAAAAAAAAAAATCAAAGGATTCAATTGGGAGCACAACCCTTTATTTCTGGTCTAAGTGCTGCAGGAGGGTTTGTTGGTCCCTGCTTATCTGAAACAGGTTGCTCTGCATCAGTTCGGCCGAAGAACAACATGCTGTCCAAATGAAAGAAAGGACAAGAAGCATTAGTGAATAAAAGAAATGCATGAAAGTAGACCAAACTACATCAAAGATTTGAGATTGATGTGCCTTAATTTGTGTCCTGTTATATGTATAGGTGATATGCACAAGTCCATCAGTAGATTGGATAACAGCAGGATACGAGTATTCCATTCCCAAGGTATCCTCCAGTGTAAGAACCTCATCCCAGGAATCTCCATCATCTTCAGACTGGGCAACCTTAAGCACACCCCTAGAAATGGTGTTGTACACAAGCAATAGATGGCCGTTCCTCAGCTTAACCCCATCAATACCTAGTGAAAGAGATTCATGAAATGCACAATGTTAGAGATTATAATAAAACTATTCATGAATCATTCACCTAACTTCATTTAACATGAGGATATCAGAAAGATTAGTAGTTAGAACAAAAATTACAATTAGCTTTTTTCTGAAATTCGGTCAAATACAGTCATGCCAATGTCAAGGACTTCTTCACAAAGTAATTTTATTGATATCTCTCACAAATATTGCGGAGCCTATAATGTAGAACCTGAATTTGGGTTTAGGAGCTGAGTAGGTTTTGCATATCCCCAAGTCTTGCCGTTGTCAAAGGATTCTGACATATAGACTCTGCCAATGCCGGTAAAGGATCGAAGCAGGACTCGCAAGGTTCCTCTGGCAGTTTGGTAAGGCACTGGTTGAATCACACTAAGAGGTTTATTTTCAATGCAAATTGGTCCATATTTTCTCCATGTTCTACCGAAGTCTGTTGTTACCTATATCCCATGCAAGAAGCTAAATAAATGTCAAGCATCTAACATATTGTGGAGCAGTTAAATCAACTGGTCAATCGAGATCAGTTCTGTTTAAGAGTCAATACCTCTGCCCATGCACCCCAAGAGTTCCAGCTTTCAACAGATGACCCACAAAGCATGAGACCATTTTCCAGTAAGAGAGGCTGGGAAAATAGTGGTCAGAATTCAGCACTTGCTAGAGATAAATTTGTCAAACCCATGAATTTTAAACTTGAAGAAAAGATAAAATAGAGTTCGTTGGTATTTGTTTTATTACCTTATTCTTTATAGGTCCTAAAATACCAGGAGGAAGCTGTTCTCTTTCTGTCCACGTGACGCCTTTATCATATGAACGTTTCATGAATCCACTCCATCTGAACTCAAATAAGCCAATTCTGCCCATTAGAAGGGAAAACTAAAAATTCAATACTAGGTCAAAAGCCCTTTTGGAAGCATGTCAACCCCAACAGAAAAGAAAATTAAGCATTTTATAGAGAAACTTGCGCTATTTTTCATAACTATATGTTGCCATCTAAGGAGATAGTAAGTCAGAAACTTTACTTTTGAACATCTAAGCCTATCCTGTAGAATAGCAGCAACACATTTGATGGAAGTTTAAATAGCACAGGGTTCCACATTGGAACATTTGGTTCTTCATCAGCAATTACAGGTGGTTTCCATCTGCCATTCTGCCCACCAAATGATCTCACAAACTAGAGTTACCAATGAAAACTTTAAAGCTAAGTAACATCAATTCCTTAGGAGGGCCCAAAAATAAAACAGCAAACACCTTTTCGCAAAATCCATAAGATTTAGTTTTCAAATGGCACCAAATTGAAGGATTCCCAGTTTCCTATAAATTGAAGGACTGGGTTACCTTGTGAGTCTGCAGCCATATTTTGACATCAGGTGCTCCCTCTGTTGTGCCACCATAGTAGGCAACCAAAAATGACCCTTTCTAACCTGAGAAAATAAAAGAAACTCATAGTCTCACATTTTGATGACGGTATTTTTTTTATTGGCTAAAGTATATTTTTGGTTTTTTAACTTTACATAAGGTTTCATTTTAGTCCCTTAACTTTAAAAAGTAAACTTTAGTCTTCTAACCTTAGAACTGCAAACAAAAAACAATGATATTGAGCTCTTAAACGTTGATAAAACATTACTAAATATTATAATATTAAGTTTAATTTTCAAAATAATCATGATTGTTACAAAAATTCATTATTTAAGACTAACAATTTTAGGATCAAAGGACTAAAAGTATACTTTTTAAAGTTAAGGGATGAAATTGAAATCCTACGTAAAAAGTTAAATGACGAAATGAATACTTAGCTTTCCCCAACGAAAGGGGTTATGAAATAAAAAAACAAAATAAGAAGAAAAAGAACAATCGCTTATTGTATTTTACTACCTCAACAATGGTAGAAGCATGGCAACTGTTGAAAGGAGTTGATTTTGCAGGAAAGGTGAACTCCTCTAACACTAGTCCATTTAACCCAAGTGCTTCTGAAGTTGTCGATTTCGCCCTGCAGAATTTTCTTCCGATTTTTAGCTCATAATAATAACAGGAAAAGTAGGGAACAAAAAGAACAGCCAGTAGAATCAGACATATCACGTATACTATACATTATAGTGTTATGGTAGTATACTTATAGAAGCTCATTGACTGAGGCACCGAGGATTTTGTTTGAAAATAAACAGAACCCACCATTAAAAACATCAAAAACACGAAAGAACAAAATAGTGAAAGGGGAATGCGAAAGAGCTAAGAAGAATACGAACCGTGAGAATGAGTAGGTCCTGTCGATGATAACAGATATCAAAAACAGAAAATGGACAGAAGAAGAGAGAAGAGAGGTCATTGTGCTGCTACTATCTCCACTGATTTCCAAACTGTTACTCGTCGAAAGGAAAATAGCTCATTTGAGTTCAAGCGAGTCGAGTTAGTTGACCCAGTGTCATCCGTTGAATTGTTCACCGGCTATCATCTGCCGTTGATTTCTGTCTGTTGTCTGCTAGTTGAAGTGGTTCTTGTCTATCCCATATATGCCAGAAAAATAAAAGAGAAAATCGCAAAAAAAAAAAGTCACTGAAATAAAAAAATTACACCCAAAACTTATATTAATATCGTCATGAGTTTTGTTTGCAATTTTTTCATTTTGATGGTCTTTTCTTGCGATTTTTTCAAAATAAAATTAAAAAAGAAAAAAAAAAGAAAAAGAAAAGAAGAAGCTAAACATTCCAAGTTCAGAAACTTATCATACATCTTTTAGCCATGTGGTTCGCTACATAAGCTAACGGTTGCCTTCCATTACTGAATATGCCCGCATTCGATAGGGATACATTTACATGCTTCTTAAATGGCTTTGAACTTTGAAGTAAAGACTTGGCATTTTCTTCTTTTAATTAATTTTTCCGTGAGATGGAGTCATTACTTTCATTGTTCCCATTTTATTATTTTAAAAATTAGATAACTAATTTATAAATATTAATAAAATTAGTTATTTGTAAAAATTATAATTTCTCTATAATACACCTTCAATCAATTGTATCCAAAATTATTATATTGATAAAAAAATTTTCTTTTAACATGTGATAATATAAATAATTTAGAAAGAAAGTTATAAATTTAAAAGATAAGGTGAATTACAGTCTTAAAACTAAATCAGTTCTTTCAACTAATTTTTATATTTAGGATTAAATTTGTTGCTTATAAAAATTATATATTTTTCTATAATACACCTTCAATCACTTGTATTGAAAATTATTATATTGATAAAAAATTTTGTTTTAACACGTGATAATATAAATAATTTAGAAAGAAAGTTATAAATTTAAAAGACTGGGTGAATTAAAGTCCTAGAACTAAATCAATTCTTTCAACTAACTTTTTTTATATGTAGGATTTAAAACAGTTTTAAGCTAAATTTTTCAGGTGTTTCTATGATTAAATTTATCCATCTCTCCCTGGAGAGGAATTAAATTCTTGCTCATCCGCACAACGGATAATATATGTTTTTTTTTTTTTTAGGATATAAGAGGGGGCCACGTCCAGAGTAAGATTAAGAGTGTTTAGATGCAAACCAAATCATAATTTTAAAAGTAACAAAAAAAATCATAATTTTAAAAGTACTTTTACGGTATACGAGATAATATATGGAGGAGTTCGTTTTGTAAATCCCAAGCTAGATGGGGACTAGATCCCAAGCTCTCCTTGTCCACAATGACCCTCAATTCAGGAGGGCACATATCAAAAACAGTTGAAGTGGAAATTCCTTTCTTGGCTAAACTATCTGCTACACCATTACTGTCTCGACTTGTATATCTCAGATGGACTTCCCAACTTCGCTTTAATAAATCCTGAATTCGCAGTATCATAAGGCTGCTATTTAAAGTAATCTCCTTTGATGTCAGCATCTCAATGAGTCCTTTAGCATCAGATTCCAGAATGATCTGTTTAAATCCATAATCCAAGGCCAAGCTCAAGCCCTTGAATATAGCCCATGTTTCGGCATCTATAACACTGCATTTTACAATCTTACAAGAGAACCCCACAAGCCATTCACCGTTATGGTTCCTTATCGCTCCACCACATCCAGCATCACTCGAATGAGCAATGACTGCCCCATCCACATTTAATTTTACCCATTCAAGTGGACGAGACCAGCCACGGGTTAATTTTCATTCCGTTTGAAACATAACAAAATAAGGCAAAATCTGTGCAGGATATAGTACTACTGTAGTTCTATTCCATGAATACGCAAAATTGGAAACCGGAAATTTGTGAGAAAACAAGAGGAACTGCTGTGAGGAAAATCCGTTTGAAGATAAACACTAAAAGAGACCCCATCGTCCACCAAGTTTCAGATTATTCTTCACTTGTTTGTGAGGCTTCAAGCTCAGATCTTCCAGATTATTCTTTAACGAATGAGCACTGAACTACTGATAATATCAAGGATTAGTAATGAAAATATCCAAAAATAAGTCCTCAAAACAAAAAACAAAAATCAAACATCATTATTGAAAAATTTCACTCAAAATACTTCAATTACAACAAAGAACCTTGATCTTTTCTTGAAAATTTCAAAATTTAAGGTCATTAATTATAATTAACTTAGAATGACCAGAAACATCATTTGCCGTTCGAGATAATTTAATTCACGAACCCACGTCACTTTAGCTCAAGAACAACACGCTGCCAACAACGAAAAATGAGGAGGTTAGTCCTTATTTATAGTTGGGTACACACACACAGACATAGAACTCAAATTAGAAGAAGGCGATATATACCTTAATTTGTGTCCTGTTATAAGTATACGTGATGTGCACACGTCCATCACTGGCCTGGATAACAGCAGGATAAGAGAACTCCATTCCCAAGTTATTCTCCAACGTAAGAGCTTCACGCCAAGAATCACCATCATCTTCAGAAAGGGCAACCTTCAATACACCCCTTGAAACTGTATTGTAAGCAAGCAACAAACGGCCATCTCGCAGCTTAACGCCGTCAATGCCTAGAAAAACAAATTTTAAGAGATAAGCCACTAGATCATCAGGTTTTGACGAAGATCAAGGAAGGTCTTACTTGCTAACCTTCAAAAAAACACGAAGGAATGCCTAAAAGTTGAAGTGATGAACCTCAGGATTAAATAGATTAAGAAACTAAATAGATGAACTTGACCTGCATTCGGGTTTGGGAGCTTAGTGGGTTTTGCATATCCCCAAGTCTTGCCACCATCAGAAGATTCTGACATACACACTCTACCAATGCCATCAAAGGATCGTAGTAAAACTCGTATTGCCCCATTTGAAGTCTGATAAGGTACTGGTTGAATTACACTCAGGGGATTGTTTTCAATGTAAATTGGGCCATACTTCGTCCATGACCGACCAAAATCTGTAGTGACCTGTTTTATACAACAATAATAAAGTTTCAGCCGATTTTTCAATCAGAAGCTCAACTAAGATGCGCTTGTTCAGAAGTTAAAACCTCCATCCATGCACCCCAGGAGTTCCAGCTCTCAACAGATGATCCACAAAGTAAATGGCCATTGTCCAGCAAAATGGGCTGAGAAATAGTAATAATAAGACTTCAGAACATGCCAAATAAATAGTGATGCCCATGAATTCAAAACACATTACAATAAAATAGCTTCAGTTTTACCTTATTCTTTATTGGTCCTAATATGCCAGGAGGAAGTTGTTCTCTTTCTGTCCAGGTGATGCCTTTATCATACGACCTTTTCATAAATCCACTCCATCTGACATTAAATAAGCCCATTCCTTCCATCATATCATTCATATGCAAGAAGGGAACAAGTAGCAAACTTAAAAGTGAAATAACTTCTACATTGTTATGTGCAAGGGGATCATAACTGATTGAGTCTTCCTTTGTTATATCTAGAACTCTGAATGTCTTTTACAATGAGTTACTATTTAATATGCAGTTATCCAGTATGTCTGTTTAATTGTTTTATCTGTCATTCTTAGAAATTGTCTTTTTGGTTAACACTGAGAAATTGTTTTAATAATAAACTTTGACAAATATAAAGTTTCCACTGTGGAGTAGTGGCCTCAATGACTGCTTAAACAGAAGGGGGAAAATGATCTGATAAGATCATAAAGGTTAGAATTTACTTTTGAACTTCTTGGCCTATTTTGTAGAATAGCAGTATCTCGTCTGATGGGAGCTTGAACAGTACAGGGTTCCACATAGGAACATTTGGTTGTTCATCTGCGATTACAGGTGGATGCCATCTGCCATTCTGCCCAACAAATTTGCATTTAGAAAGTTAATGATCCATTCAAAAATTTATGATAAGACAAGGGAAGCAGGAATATCACTGCTTTTGTAATCAAGATGTCTTCAGTCTCCGCAAAACAGACAGAAAACAACATTGAATTTACTTTTAAAATGAAGATGAATTCAATGTCTGATCTTTCAGATTAAACTTTCCTATATCATGCTGACTTTGCTTGCAAAGCAGATAGACGATTAAGCAGTATAAAAGGGGAAAGAAAAAAGGAAAAGAAAACTATACCAGTAATTCTGACAGTAGATTATGACAAAAACATGAAGAATTGGATCCTATGAATTTGAGGATCCATAAATTTGCTGAAGTTTTCCTCTCTAAGATAGAGAGACAAGGTTTTACTTTTTTTTATTAAAAGAATACAAATTAGAAACCAGAATTAGCACGGCCGCATGGGAATAATCAATTTCTATGGATTTAAAGATAGAAGCTTGTCGAGCTTGGTGACGCTAGCTTGAGACTCAATCGAGAGCATAATCGGAAAAAACAAAGAGAGAAGGAGCTTTGTTTACAATTACTTTGTAAGTCTGCAACCATATTTTGACATCAGGGGCCCCCTCTGACGTGCCCCCAAAATAGGCAACCAGGAAATGATCCTTCTCAACCTGCCAAATCAAACATGATATAATTCAATTCAATGCCCACAAAATTCCGTAATTTGTTTGAGAAAAACGCTACTCGCTTGTGTTTTTTTAACTATTCCTTGACCTCAACAATCGTAGATGCATGGCAACTCTTGAATGGAGCTTCAGGAAAAGTAAGTTCCTCCACCAGGGGCTGCTCTATTGGACAATTATTTGCCATGCCTAAACTACGGATTTCCGAATCTTTTTGAACTTTTCAGGCTACGTCCTGGAACTTTAGCTTCAAGATTATAGCTGATAAGTGGGAAAGAACAGATACACTCAGATTCATGACGATCATTTTCAAAATAAAAGAAGTATTTTTAAATTAAAACATTATACTGTTAGAAGCCCTGCATCAAAGCTCAAACATTGGCACCTCTAGAGATTCCCAATATCTACCTGATCAGAGAAGTTGAACGTGCGACCCTACCAATGGAGCTCCCCAGTGGCTAGTCAGTACATTCGCGAAAAGTAATCACCGAAAAGAATCAAAACCGAAGTAGAAAATACAAAAGAACTATGCAACCCAAACTCTGCGATCCGGGAGGGAAATTGCTCATCTGCATTGACTAAATCACTTTATTTGATGACATTTTCTCGGACAGAAGAAGTCACGTTGAACTTAAGGATGAACCCAGAAAGAATTCACACTAAAGTATGAAACCCAAAAGCAAATTCCCAGACTTTAATCACCAGAAAGAATCAAAACTGAGATAGAAAATAAAATGAATTGTGCAGCTTAAACTCAACAATATGGGGGGACAATTGCTCATCTGCGTTGACTCAATCACTTTATCTGATTATTTACTTTTGGTCAGAAGAATTCACCCTGCACTTAAACCAGACAAGCAGAATACCGAGAATTTAAGAAAGAGCGAATGAATTTGTAAGCCAGAGAAGTATCAGTACCTCCGTCAACAGAAGAGACAGAAACGCAAATGGCACTGAATACTGATTTGTGCTGTTTCCGTTACTGCAAAGCATCCCACCGTGCATCCCGCTCGATATTTCCGTTCACGCGGTGATTAATAATTGTTTTTTTTTTTTTGCCAATACGTTGATTAATAATTGATTAGTAATTAATAATGAGTAATGTATTAGAGGGCGAAGGATAACACAAACAATGTGAAATCAAAATAGAGTAAGACAAAATTACAAATAAAGACCCCCTAATATGTAAAATTATGATTTAAGACTTTAAATTGGAAAAATAGCAAATAAGGATCAGGTTTTACTTTTACAAATATGAAATGTGAGTGAAATATCTGAAATATCTTTCAGCCACATTGTAATTTGGTTTACTAAAATTGTCATTCACTAAAGTGAACTTGTCATTTCTTATAATCAATTTGTCATTTGACATCCTTAATCAAGTTATAATTTGGTTTAGTGAAAGTGTCATTCGTTAAAGTGAAGTTGTTATTTCTCATATTCAACTTGTCCTTTGACTAAAGGGTATTTCGGACATTTTATCATGATTTCATATTTACAGAAATGAGACCAGGTCCTTATTTGCTATTTTTCAAATTGAGAGTCGCAAATCATAATTTTATATATTTAGAGGTCTTTATTTTCAATTTTCTCATAGAGTAAAGTGGAAAAAGAAAAAAATACGGTAAAGTATGGCCTGTTTTTATTTTGCAAGTGCATCAACAGTCTATTTTTATAACGTTCCATGCTGTGGATTAAAATATGATAAAGATGCACTAAAAATAAAATTTACATGTTATATGTACTATAAAAAATATCAGGGATGCATTTAAAAGATAAGATTAAATTGTTAGATGCTACTTTGCGCATCAAAATATCAAAATTTATATAAAATATTTAACATGTCTTTTCAATAAAAATGGGAGGAAGTATAATTTAAGTTCTTATTAAAAAAAAGTAATATCATTAGTTTTACTCTTTTTTTGTAATTTAAAAAGAGTTGAATGATTATTTGCTCTATTGTTAGTTTGATTACAATCAAATTGCAAACGAATTGATTATAACCAAATTAATATATTTTGATTTTAATTTTTAAAATATCATATAAAAATAAAATTATTGACTCTCACCTATACCTGACTAATTTTTCTAAATTTTTAATCAATTTATTGATTCTTAACCAATTTTCCAAATGCTCAAATTTTCCCCCCGAGTTTTTTAACTCATATTTCAGGTGTCCACATTTAAGGGTCTAATTTGATTTTTATATCCTTAAATAAAACAGAGAGAGCCTGTATTTTTTTGGGTGCTGTAAGGAACCATGCAACGAGAGGGTAACTGACAAGCGTTCGTTCACAGTGATCACCCCTTTTTCGTTGCCTATGAATATTACCAATTTAATGCCATTGTCAATCCTATAAACATGCAAATAAACAGCCACATCTCTCTCTGTTTTCTCTCAAAAATTATGAAGATTTTGAGATAGAATCATTCCAGATTTTTATTACGAATTATTTCGAATGAATTTATCTTGTGAGACCAACATTTCTGCAGAATTGGAATCGATTTAAGGTTGATAGCAGCCTGATTTATCGACTATCATGAGTGAGACGAACGTTTCTCCGGAGAATGTCGACTTGCCGTCTCCGGCGGTTGAGGAGGAAAAGTTAAGTTCGTCGACGGTTCCTTCCTCGGAGACGACGATTAACTCTCCGGACACGGTGGCTAACAACAAGGCAGCGGTGATGTCGCCGTCGATGATGGAGACGTTCAGGACCTGTGTGCTGTCGGGGGGCCGGATTGACAAGGAGGAGTTGAGGAGGAAGCTTACGATGCCGCAGTATCTCCGGCACGCAATGCGCGATTGCATACGTTTCCAGGATCCCACCGCAATGAGCAGTCGCATAGGCGACAAGGACGAAGAAGGTATTGGCCCTCCGGAGACGCCCATGGTAGTATTCATAAATACCCGCAGCGGCGGCCGTCACGGCCCTGTTCTTAAGGAAAGGCTGAAACATCTAATGAGTGAAGAACAGGTCATATTTTTTGCAGTATTATTTTTCATTATACAAATTTGAATGCGCTTATTTGATTAGCTTTGCTTTTAACATTATTATCGAAGAATCCCACTGCTAAAAAAATAGAGGTGTTTAAGTATAATTTTAAAAATATCCTTTAAAGGCGTTTTTTGATTCAATCCAACACCTCTTAAATTTCAAACTAAGTTTGACGACAACATTTCAAGATTTGCAAAAAAAAAAAAAAATTGTGCACAAATTTTTTATTTAAGATTTTCAATTTTTTTTTTAAATTTTTCCTCAACATCTTTGGGTTGAATTGGAGCATCCCGCAAACAGCAGCAGAGCCAGAGCGTTCCCCCTTTTCTCATTTTCTTCCTCATGAAAAAATAAAGGAAAGAAATCGGAACAAATTAGGGGCAATTAGATGAAAGAAAAATTCACAAATTAATTATTAAAAAGCTTTAAAATTTAATTAATTGAATTATAAATATTTATTATTTATATAAAGAAAATTTACAATTAAAAATATATATAATACTATTTATCATTCAAACAAATCAGATTTATAGATAAAATAATACTTATTTATTATTGGTGGTTTTTAGAAATAAAAAATTTGTGGATTTTATGCTTAAGCATAACTCTCCCAACTGATTAAGAGGAATATCTTATTGCCTACTTTCACTTTAGTCTCTCATAGATTATGTTGGAGGAAAAAAGCCCTTAGATTATTTGTGAAAATAAAATAAAAAATACTATTGAAGTTTTAATATTATCATTGCACCTTAATTTTTATCTCAAAGACAGCAATAAATCTGAAATAATAATCACTAATGCCGAACATAGGAGGTGAGTTAAGAGTGTCACATCTATAAATGATATCTTGCTAGAATACTATGACTAACCTAGCGAGGAGAGGTGTCCTTATTTAAGGAATTATTTGGTATAAGGGGAATGAAAGGGAGAGGAGGTGGGAAATTTTAATAAGTTTTATTTACAAAGTAAAAAATAGGGTTAGATGCTTTTAACTCTTTTTTTTTTTTTTACTTTTTTATATTACATTTTCTTTTTATTAAAATTTTATAAACTCACTTTTCTAATTTTTTAAATCAAATCCATTAAAATTTTTCATTCCCTTCCTTCCCTCCATTTCCCTCAACACCAAATGTAGGGTTTGAAAGTATCTCAAATATGATAATCCTCTTTTAGGAAAATACTTATGCCTAGAAAAAAAACATAACTACCACCGAGCACTTGGATCAACTGGTAAGGGGTTGTTTCAGCTTAACCAAAGGTCACGGGTTGACCAGGACACTGGGTGAAGTAATTCAAAAAGAAAAAGAAAAAAAACATAACTAACGTTTTAATTTTAATGAATATAAGGAATTTTTTAGTAATATATTAATGGAAGCCATGTGAAAACTATGAATATGACGGCTTTAGAATTAATATATTTCTATGAACAGATTCATGTATTAATTTATATTGAGGACATACGTGCATTAAGAGGTAATGGACGAGCTCCACCTCGCATGTTATCCCTCAAGACCAAATTAGAACCTTTATATTCCTCCTCATGACTAATATTATATTCTATGTACTGCAGGTTTTGGATCTTACTGATGTGAAGCCTCATGAATTTCTGGAGTATGGATTAGGTTGCCTCGAGGTGGTGGCAAGTCTTGGTGATTCTTGCGCAAAAGAAGTTCGTGAAAGAATGAGGATTATGGTATGTCGACTAGTGCAACAGAACATGTACAATCATATTCAGAATTTAAATGGTGCCCGCAGAACATTCTGAGTTCGGATTTTACTATAACAGCTTTGAGATGGGATGATATTGGCTGACAGGTTGCTGGAGGTGATGGTACAGTTGGCTGGGTATTGGGATGTCTCACTGATCTTCACAAGAAAGGCCGTGATCCAATTCCTCCAGTAGGAATTATACCACTTGGTACAGGCAATGATCTATCTCGGAGTTTTGGATGGGTAAGTATTTACATGCATTGATGTGTGAGTTAGATGTGTGTTATGTTTTTCACTAATATGTGGCTTTGATATGGTATCACCGTATCAGGGAGGTTCATTTCCTTTTTCCTGGAAAGCTGCTATTAACAGGAGTCTTTTGAAGGCCAGTACTGGTCGGGTTTGTCGTCTGGATAGGTAACTTTCATTCATATAATCCGTGCTTCTTGAGAATTTCTTCAATCAAGTAGCTATCAACTTTCATTCATATAATCTGTGCTTCTTGTGAATTTCTTCAATCAAGTAGCTATCGGCAAATAAAAAAGTTGTCAAAGTCTAATGCTCGGAGACAGTAGGATTTACATTATTTCATGGGTTATATCTGGGAGGAAGTGATAATGCTTGATTTTAGGTCATCCTGACCTTTCATGTTTAATGTGATCCTCCTTTTCCCTCTATAGATGTTGAATCAGTGTCTTTATACTTCTTAGCTTTAGATCGGATGTGCAACTTCCTCTTGAAATAATGGGTAGTGTTTTTGTTGTACATCTCTTTATAATAAACTACTTGCTTCAGTCGTAATTATAAAACTTCATTTGTAGACGAGGTCCTATAATTAGGACTGGAGGTAGTATATGATAGTGTGGTGTGTTTTAAATTTTTATTATGTATTGATATATCAATATATTAATTTCACTAGCAAACATTTTTTCTCAAAAAAGCTGTTGATGCCATGTCCGTGTTTGGGCATACAGTCCTGTCAGGTTTAATTATGCTTTGATCTCATGAAAGTTTTCAGAAAATCATGAGTATGAACGTTCTTGTTTCATTCATGGTTGGAGGGCAAAATGGAAACAAATGGCAACAAGTTTGCCATTCAGCTCTAGAAAATAAATTATAACAAAGTCACTATGAATACAAAAACCTAGGTTCCCGATAGGGAAAAAAGTTGTTAATAATCCTCGACTTTGATCAGACAACAAATAAAACACAACGAAGACTCGGGATGTTCAACACTTTACATGCTCACCAATAGTTTATTGAAAGAATGAGGTATTGTGGTGTGAATAAAATATAAATGCTTCTTGAATCTTATTTGTCTACACGGATTCTCTCATTCCCAAATGTGTTGAAATATTTCTCAGGTGCAAAGAATTTTTGTTCTCGTATTCTTAGTTTCTAATATGCAGGGTATGTTTGGTATGAATATATGTATTTATCAGTTTGGATTTCATGCAGTTGGGAAATCGTACTTTCAATGCCAGAAGGCACAATTGTGGAAGCACCTCATTCTCTGAAGCGCACAGAAGAGTTCTCTCTTGATGAGGTTGTGGGTTCAGTTGCTCACATCATATAGCTTCTTTAGTTTGTTGCCAACTGATTAATTATTAGATTTACGCGGCATAAAATCTATCCCTTGCCATTTGCTTTTATTTGAGCCTGGAGGGCCAATAATCTCTTGAAGAAGAAAAGAAAACTTCAAAGCTGTAGCATCAGCATAAAAGAGCAAACCAAACCCATTAATTTCCACAGCATTGCTTTACTACAAGGTATTTATTCATTTAAATTCTATTGTTGTATATATGTTGTAAGTAGTTTCTTGCGTTTGCAGGGTTTAGAAGTTGAAGGAGAGTTGCCTGAGGAAGTTACTTGCTATGAGGGAGTTTTCTACAATTACTTCAGTATAGGTAATTTGACCTCTTCATTAGTAGAGACGTGAAGTCACGCTGGCACTTGAGTGAATTTTGGCATGAGCTTATATCATGCCCATACCCCGTGCCTTGGTTATGTAGTCAGGAATATCTTGCGACTGAAATTACTATACAATGGAATATCCTATGTTTCGACTCAAATGAACGTTAAATTAATGCCAAATTATTCTCTGCCTGCTATTTCTGTTTAGCGGAGAAGTTTGAAAATGACGTTTTATTGCTTATTACGCATGTGTTAGACTTCAACTACCTCCATGGATTTCTAATATTTTTTTGTAGGCAAATCCAATCACTGAGGTTTCTCGATTAATTTCACAGGAATGGATGCCCAAGTAGCTCATGGCTTCCATACCCTGCGTAATGAAAAACCTTATCTTGCAAATGGTCCAATAGCAAATAAGGTATTAAATTTCTCTCTCTGTTCCTTGAAAGACGGTTTATTTGCATCGTGCAGTATCAGCATTAACACCTACGAAATATTCATGGCCCCTAAAGATATAGTCATGCTAATGCAGGATTATGACCTAGTCTTTATTTTTCTCTTTTGCTTTTCCAGATTATCTACTCTGGTTACAGTTGCACTCAGGGCTGGTTCTTAACACCTTGCACAAGTGACCCAGGTCTAAGGTAGATATATTAGAACCAAGTTCTTCTGATAAATCACCAATATTTGTGGGTTTATTAAAAGGAGTGGTTTAATGGATCATTCAATCTCCCATAATTTCAAGAAAAAGTTATGCTCAATGAACTTCAACTAATGAAGGATAGTGACTAGCCTTTGCAATACCTTTACCGTTTCTAGTCATAAAGACTAAAGTCTTCAGAAAACCTTTCTGATTGTAGGGGGCTTAAAAACATTCTGCGGATGCATGTCAAAAAGTTCAACTCCGTAGAGTGGGAGCAGATCCCAGTTCCTTCCAGGTACGTATATTGCACATTATATAATTTTTCTGATGCATACTATAAACTGGTGAACAAACACTGTTTTTAAAGCAGCCATCTCTAGTTGCTGGTGATTTTATATTTCGTATTTGATGGGATGTCACACTTACTCTCTTAGTTTATAAGATTCTATTTACTCTTAGTTTTTAAGATTCTATCACATTAAATTTCCGTGTCCTTTGTAAATGTCATGGTGTTTCAGTCTTATTTATGCTTCCGTTTTCTGTTTATCTTATTTTATATAACAAGGTAATGATATTTTCTTTCAGTGTAAGGGCAATAGTTGCTCTCAATCTTCATAGCTACGGAAGTGGGAGAAATCCTTGGGGTAATTTGAAACCAGAGTATTTGGAAAGGGTATAGCACTACTCCTGTACCGCTATGATGATGTGAAAGCATTCATCATCTCTCCGGGCCCTCTTTGGGTTGCTGGAAACTATTTGAGAAGCTTTTCTCACGAATGCAAATATAAACAATATCACAAGCTTACCAGTTTACACTTTGCTATGTCTTGCCATCCCTCTAACAAGAATGAAGGGAAAAATTCTTTAGAAAATTTTCTTGAAGATCGCCTGCAGACAACGGATATGCTGTTGCTTGTCATATATCTTCTTTGCAAGTACTCAAAGCCTATTGTTTTAGACTATGTTTACTCTTCCCTTTCATTTCCTTGGTGCTTTTACGTTTGACTCTGCTTCTCTGTTGCAAATTGTGTGATATAACGAACCTGACAGGGTTTGGGATAATGTACTTTCAGAGAGGCTTTGTCTCAGCCAATGTGGATGATGGACTTCTGGAAATATTTGGTCTAAAGCAAGGATGGCATGCATCATTTGTAATGGTTGAACTAATCTCTGCAAAGCACATAGCTCAGGTATTATCCCAATATATGATGAATGTATTCTATCATGTCAAGAATGAGCCAAATCAGGATCATATTGGTCCGATATGTTCGATTGGTTGGTACTACAAGTGTATGTAAAGTTGGATAATTGTGTATATGTTTCAGGCAGCAGCAATTCGACTGGAAATAAGAGGTGGGGAGTGGAGAGATGCTTATATGCAAATGGATGGAGAACCCTGGAAGCAGCCTTTGAGAAGTGAATTCTCTACCTTCGTTGAAATCAAGAGGGAGCCTTTCCAATCGTATATGATTAGTGGAGAGTAACTAATTGCTTCAAACAACAAGTCATCATATATGCATGTAAATTAATTATGTGTAATTAATTAATTATAGGCATTGGAAAGGTCTGCTGCACCATTGTTAGACCCTCTCCCTTTTTTTGATGACGGGAAAGAGCGAGTACATATACATGGTCAGATTTTGACTACAGTCATTAATTGTTAGATATCATTCATTTTACTTGAGCTATTTAAATTGTTAATTCTTTCAACATAATTTTTTATATTAACAAATGCGAATCTATAATCTTATCTAGGGGATATTCTCAATGAATAAGATATGGATAATGTTGTTGCTGGGTATCCTATACATACACAGGCATTGCCTGGACCTTGAAACAGAGTCTTTCAGATGAAGAATGATACAAGTCACAGTTTCTATGAAACTCAATTCCTTATGCTTATTCTCTTTCTTTTCTCTCGGTTTCTTGCTATGATGACTGATGCTCACATTGAATGCTGTCACTACCTCCCTCTACAATATTACTTGCAGGGTATACTCTGGATTGCTTCTGTTCAAAGATAAAGACCTATTCTTTTGATCCAAGCACTTCACTATTCGAGCCTTTAACTGCAACAACCAAAGAGATCTTCCTTCTAGCCGAGAGTACCCAAACTTAAACAAATAGAACAAAAGTGAAATCCCACAAGTGACCCCTGTGATGATGAAAAGCCCTCCAAAGCTGGATACAGTTAGACTAACGGGACTGTTTGGGATTGATGATCCCCTTTCGCTTTCAGATATGATTCCGACAGAGAAGTACTTGCCCTTAATCCTTTCAAATTTTTCTTCATCTTGGGTCACATTTAGGATTGCCCTCGAAAAATAAGACACCAACGGAGATTTTGGTGGAAATGCCTGACCATAAAACACATAACAACGTTAGCATAATAGCAGTCTATGAAAATTGAAGGCTTAAATTTATTTTTGTCTCTTCATTATTACAAATCTTTATTTTGAACCCAAAACATGCATATCCCTATCAATTCCTAATATCCAATTTATCTAAACTTTTTGGTTGTCAAAATAAACGAATAAATTGGCGTCCTATAAACAAAATACTATAATATTATTGGATGGCATAATTGGAATGATATAATTAATATAACAGACATTATTTATTTATTTCTTATACTTGAGAGCAAATCAATCCTTAAAAGAAGTCTTTTAGTGCATGAGAGTATCAACCTAAACATTTAAATAATTTGCATGAGAGTATCCACCTAAACATTTAAATAATATATATGACTGGGTTTAATTTTTTTTTTGGGCCAACATATGACTGGGTTTGATTACACATTTGAATTTTTCAACTCTTGTGCTCCTTGAACCTTTTGTTTTCAATGAAAAAAACTTGTATTTAAGGCAAAATTGAACGAGAGAGAACTTACGAAGCCGAGACCAGTAGTTTGGTAGGTTGGCCCCACCATAGCATACTTGGAGCCGAATTTTGAGAGGAAGAGCCTCACGTAGGGGATTTCATCAAAGATAGCAGCGACCTCACCACTAGCGAGAGCTCGATCATATTCTTCAGGCGTCTCGTATGGTTTCAACCTTGACTCATCCTTGAATCCCAACTGATTCTTCAGAAACATTTTGACGAAAGACCCCTTCTGATACCCCACACAGTAATTATTATTATTTATTTCTTTTACATCGATGAACTTAGGCTGCAATCTTTGAACAGTTAACATGGAAGTTAAACTTGCAGTGTAACTTTGTGTTATGATGAGCACCACAAATACCCATAGGATCAGCACAAAACGCGACCAATTGTTCTCTAGTCTTTCCTCTGTGTCACCATTAAACATAGTACGTGAAATTTAATGATGAATATATGGTTGTCGACCTAGAGATCATGAAATATGTAATGTATGAGTTTAAAGAGAGGAGATTTACTGTGAGCAAAGACTAAGGTGGAGAAAGAAAACCAGAACACCATCCCAAGTTGTTGCTGTGGTGATCCTTGAAATTCTGGGTTTGTTTGCCGCTCGTGAAGCCATATAGTGATACCTGTGAGGACGAATGCTGCACCTGTGGTCAGCCAAAGACTTGGACTCAAAGGCTTTAAGAAGATCCACATGTTTTGTCTCTCATCGTATTTCATTGAAACAACCATTGACACCCCAGATTCTGAAAACGGCAATGTAAAGTCAACATGTTCCGCACGGTTAGCTACGATAGTTATGTCTCCAACCACAGCATCATGCTCCTACCAGTATAAAAAAATGCATATTTACTTGTCATGTGATCTTTCATCAAAAAGGTTGTAGTAATATGCTTGGCCAAATAGACAGTGTACTAGATTTTCATCCTTCAACGAAAACTTGCCTTAAAAAGCCCTCCAGAGGACCCAGTGCTTCCAATCCGCAACGGGACAAACTCATATGGAAGAGGAAAAGGTAAAGCTTTTATCACTTCCAGAAACACATCAATACTAAAGCCAGAGACATCCGGAGTGCTATTTGACGACCGCCTTTCCACCTTCAAAAATTCAACAAAACCCTTTCTTACTGGGACCCCAATTCTCAACTTGGTTGGTTGATTTGTTGTGTACCCCGGCCATATTGGTGGCATCAGTTTCCCTCTTGAACTCCAATGATTGTCGAGGAATAGTCCTCTCTGGGGGCTCCAACGTCCAATGATCCTCTCTTTGCGTCCTACCACATTGAATACTTCAAGCTCCAAGGGTTCGAGTTGTCCTTCACTCAAATTGAAATTCCCAGAGAGGCCTTCAAATTTAGTACTTAGGATTCTATCTATAAGTGTGTCATTACCCTTATAATTTGCAAATGTAGACTCTACTGCCATGGCTATGGCCCAAACTGTGTCATAAGCCCAAAGTCCAAACAAGGTTAAGGAAGAAGACACACTGCCTGATTTAATTGACGAAGCTTTCCATCTTTTTCTGAAACTTGTAAGCCTTCTTGACTTTTCCAGTCTTGGCCTTACCCCCACGATACCTTGCATAGAATCCATCACTTTCGGACCCAGAGGGGCTAACACATTGGACAACCCGTCGGTGACTATCCACCCATACCCTTCCGTCATCATTCCAGCCTTGTTCACTGCTGAGAAGAATTTGGGCCCAACAAGACTAGTCATGTGAACCAGAATTATTCTTTTTCGACTCTGATTGAGCTCCTTCAGCTGCTCTAGAATATCATATTCCTCAGAATTCGGATCGATGGCAATTCTGTAAGGCACCCGTGTGTTAACTTTCTCCAAGGCCTTTGTGAGATATGGGATCAGACCCTTGCCATACTCGGTGTCTTCGCAGATTGGGATGATTTCGTGCCATCCGTAAGCTTGAACAATGGCAGCTATAGCCTGCACCTGTGAGCGATCATCTTGTGCTGTCCTTATGAAGAATTTGCTCCGGAGCGGAGGAAGAGATGGACTTGTGGCTGAAAACGAGACGATGGGCACATGAGATTTGTGCCCAAGTCGTGTTACGAAACTCGCCTGTTCTGAAAATAAAGGTCCGATAATTGCATGCACGTTTTCATTCTTCATCAGGTCGGAAGCTGCATGGGTATATTTCCATGAGCTATTAAACCAAGCGACGGACGCTTTGTTTTAATAAAATTTGTGAACTAATATTTTAATTGTCGATAAAAATATATTACCTGCAGATGCTGCTGTGACGACATCATTCTCAGAATCTCTGATTCGAAGATCAAGTCTTGTTTGGTAATGAGAATAGTGTTTATAGAAGTCGTCATGAGCCATTTGGATGCAGCGCATGGCCATGCTTCCAACTGAGGAGTTGAGATCAACAACTACGCCTACTGGTATTTGTGCCTGCTTCGCCTTCGACGTTTCCGCAGAGAACCAAAGCAAAGTACCAAAGCGGCAAAACCAGAGGCAAAGGTTAAAGCTCCTCTTTTTCATCTGGCTGGACCTCGATGCTGGTTTCAGGTCCATGAAGGGGCGGGCTAATATCTTAAGAAAAACCACACATGTCAGATACTAGGAAGAAGGTGACACGTATGTATATCAGCGAATTATTTCGGTCTTAAGATTGAATATTGTATTCTTAAAAGTTCGATTCATGTACTCCATCACCAGTGAGAAACCAGCGTCTCCAAGTCAAAGACGGCTTGCATCAACGACAATTCCACAAGCAAGTCGTAATCAAACTTCAAAGACAATCTTAATTACTCCCACCGTCCATTATATACAGATTTTTTTTTTTGGCCAGACGATAATATAAAGATTTTTATGCTTTAATTTACTTTGTTTTCTGCATGTATATTTTTTTTATAAAAAATTATTCCAATTAGATGCGCATATTAAAGAGCTTTTTCATTATGAGTAGTAGTTGAAACACAAATAATAAAGAATAATTTAGAGAAATTAAAGCACGTTATATTTAAGAGATGATTCCCCCCATTAAGATCGGATGGTGTATGTTGGTCTTGGTCATCTAGTTCTCACTGCACATGGGAATGCTTGGAATTGTGGTAGGCTTGCTTAAAAGTGGCTTTTTGGTTTCAAAAGCTAGTTGGGTCATGTTTGGGACAGCTTTTAACATTAAGTGCTTCTGGCAAAAAAAATCAGTAACATATCCTCCCTTTTTATAAGATACAATTAACCATGCTTTATTTAAAGAAGTAGTTAAAATTAGTTAAGTACAATAAATATATCAAAATTAAATTTTCTTTTTTTAAAAATGCCCTCATTCATGAAAAATGTGGGTGGAAGGGAGAGTGAGTGGAAAAAGAAAGAGAGAGAATGAGAGGGAAAAAAAATGAGAGTGACGTTTAATTAATTGAGAAAAAAAGTATTAAATGTTTAAAAAACTCTAAAATGAAGAAGTATTTTATATGGACAAAAAGAATAACTGAATGAATCAAAAAGGATATACGATGATGTAAATTAAATTTTATAAATTTTAATATGTGTGCTTATCATTTTGCTATTGTTTTTTTTGTCAACTATTACTTTGCTATTGCCAATTATTAAAATATGTAAGTATATTTATGAGTTCATTTGTGAAATATTGGTACTTATTATTTTATTATTATTAATTGTTAAAATGTATATACGTACTTATAAATTTACTTATAAACTTGATTTGTAAGCAGATTTTCAATTGAGATTTACAAAATACAAGATGCATATGTAAGAGAAGTTTTATTTTTGTTTACATGAAATAAGGTTATTAGTGTTAATATAAGTGATGACAAACAAGCACTTTAATAAATATAACTAGCAACTGTACTTGACCCAAATTTTATGATATAATGTTTACCCAACTTGTGGCTTGATGGTGAAAGTGTTCTCTTTTCTCCTTTAAGGCCATGAGTTTGAATAGGCAGATTCCCGCACACAAGATGCCTTATAAATTATAGTAATAGGTTAGCAGAGGAAATAAGATTCACATCTTCATAATGTAAGAAATACTCCTCTCGTCCAATTTATAGTTATACGCCCCTCAGCTTGTAATTTCAATTTGTGAATGTATACCTGTATCATAGTTATACAATTTTTTTTTTCGGTTGGTATACACCCACTACTTTCGGGACAACGCAAGATCAAAAGAATGGGTTGAATAAATAGAGGTGACCTTTTTAATATGATCTTTTCCCTTCATTTACGTACAAGGTTGGAATTCATAATCTTATTTATGAGATATTATCGTATTTATAACATGTACATAAGTTTGAATGATTGGAAGCATGTCTAGTTTGCATAAATTTTGAGCAGGTATATTTGCATGGTCTGAATTTGACTACAGTTGTATGTTAATTGCTAGATATTATTCATTTTACTTGATTTCTTTTAATTATTTTATTTATTCTTTGAAATAACTATTTGGTCATGGTATTACTTGCCCAAATTTAAGTATAATCAATATTAAAGAAGGATAATTCTTTCAATATAATTTTTTTTATTAACAAATGCGAATCTATAATCTTATTTAGGGGATATTGTCAATCCATGAGATACACATAAGTTTGTTGCAGGATATCTTATTCATATACAGGCATTGCCTAGACACTTAAAAGTGTCTTTCAAATGAAGAATATAACAAGTGATCAGAGTCTGTAAGAAACTAAAATCCTATTCTTTTCTCTCTATTTCTTCTTGTGCTGACTGATGCGCACGCTGAATGTTGTCACTGTAGTCTGGAGAAGGTAGCTGGTCTTGTTCATTCTGGGCAGTAATGGCTCTCTCTCCCTCTACAATATTATTACTTGCAGGGAATACTCTGAAATCGCTTCCATCCAGAGAAAAAGAGCAATCCTTTCGATCCAGGAACTTCAATATTCGAGCCTTTAACTGTAACAACCAAAGAAATCTTTCTTCTGACTGACAGTACCCAAACTTAAACAAATAGAACAGAAGTGAAATCCCAGAAGCGACCCCTGTGGTGATGAAATCCAAAGCTGGACACAGTAAGACTAGTCTGACTGTGCGGGATTGATGATCCGCTTTCATCTTCAGATATGATTTTGCTGGAGAAGTACTTGGCCCTAATCCTCTCAAATTTTTCTTCATCTTGAGTCACATTTAGGATTGCCCTTGAAAAATAAGATACCAACGGAGATCTTAGTGGAAATGCCTGACCATAACATATATCAACGTTAGCATAATAGCACTCGATGATAATTGAAGGCTTGTTGGCAGGGGGGAAAAAAAGGATGTTGAAGGCTTTAATATTGTCTCTGTTATTACAAATCTTTATTTTGATCTCACTCAATTCAATAGTTATTTTTGTCCTTTAACATTAGCGGTTGTACAATTAAGGAACTTTCTTTCAAGAGGCAACAAAAATTTGAAATTTCTAAAGTCAAAGATGCATGGAAGACTTGACTTGTTTCATTGACTTTGAATGGACGACTTTACTAGTTTCTTTTTTCTTTTTTTGTTAACTCAACATATTATGATTCACTCTTCATAACATATAAAATTTGTATTATAAATTGATAACAAAATATAAAATGTAGTACTTACATCAAATTTTTTATATCTATTATATTAAGTTTTACGATCACACATGACCATGTATACTATTTTTAAAATATTAGTATTTATTTAATAGTATTTAATTATAAACTCACATAAAAAAACTTAGGACACATAGTTATGTGTGATTGGAGAATTTGAATAATGAATATAAAAAATTTAACCTACATATTTTATAATATAAAAGCAGGTGCCTTTACAAGCTCTGTAAATACTTTTATAAGTACTAGTACAATTTTTAAACTTAGAAGTATATCTTGATCCTAATAAATTATATTGGGATCGACTCCTCTAAATTTTTGGTTATCAAAATTAAACAAATAAATACATGGGTGCCTTATAAACAAAATATTACTATACTGCTGGAGCATAATTGGAATCTCATAATTGACATTGTACCATACGTTATTTCCCCCCCTTATATTCTCCAATCCTTAAAAAATTCTTATACATGACAGCTGAGGGAGTATCAACTTAAACCTTTGAATAATGTGTGTGTATATGTGAAAGGGTTTAACTACACATTTGAATTGTTCAACATTTGTGTTCCTTAAACCTTTCATTTTCAGTAGAAGAAACTTGTATCCAAGACAAGATTGAACAAGAGAGAACTCACGAAGCCAAATCCAGCAGTCTTGTAAGTTGGCCCCACCATAGCATACTTGGAGCCGTATCTTGTGAGGAAGAGCTTCACGTAGGGGGTTTCATCAAAGAAAGCAGCAATCTCACCACTGGAGAGAGCTCGTTCATGTTCTTCAGGCGTCTCGTATGGCTTCAACTTTGACTCTGTGAATCCCAATTGATTTTTCAGAAGCCTTTTGATGAAGGACCCCTTCTGATATCCCACACAGTAATTATTATTTTTTATGTCTTTTACATCGATGAACTTAGGCTGCAAACTCTGTACAGTTAACATGGAACCCAAACTTGTAGTGTAACTTTGTGTTATGATTAGCAACGCAAATACCCATAAGATCAGCACAAAACGCGACCAATTGTTCACTAATCTTTCCTCTGTGTCACCATTAAACATAGCAAACATTAGTGATAAATACATGATTTTATTGTCAACATAGAGACCATGAAATATATTATTTTTCGTTCTTAATATAAGATTTAGTTTGTAGTTCAAATTAAATTATAAACTAAATCTTATATTAAGGACTGAATGTAATATATGAGTTTAAGAGGAGATTTACTATGAGCAAAGACTAAGGTGGAGAAAGAAAACCAGAACATCATGCCAAGTTGTTGCTGTAGGGATCCTTGAAATTCTGTGTTTGTATGATGTTCGTGAAGCCATATGATGATCCCTGTGAGGACGAAGGCTGCAACTGTGGTCAGCCAAAGACCTGGACTCAAAGGCTTCAAGAAGATCCACATGTTTTGTTTCCCATCGTGCTTCATCGAAACTACCATTGACACTCCGGCTTCTGAATACGGCAACGTAAAGTCAACATGTTCAGCACGGCTAGCTGTAATAGTTATGTCTCTGACCACAGCATCATACGTTTACCGGTATAAATGAAAATTCTTGTCATTATAACATGCCTCAAAAAGCTTGTAGTAATACACTCAGACAAATAGGCAGTACTATCTCCTATTCTAAATATAAGAGTCAGTTGACTAATTTAACTAGATAAAAAATTTTGTTAAGTTACTTATTTGTATTAAATAAGTATTGTCTTCTTCAAAATGCTTTTACTAATTATATTTATTGGTTAGAACTATCATTTGATAGGATTTTTAACATATACAATTATTATAAAGATTATTTTGAAAAAAAGACAAATATGATAAACAAGGAAAATTAAAGTTTTATATTTAGAGCTAAATTAAAAATCAAACTAATTTTTATATTAAGAACGGAAAAGAGTATGTATACTAGGATATTTATCGTTTAACGAAAACTTGCCTTTTTCTCAATTTGGCGAACCAGCTCTTCATAGGACGTACTTTCTCCATTCTTCTTCTGGAATGGGAGAACCTCGTATTCCAGAGGAAAAGGTAAAGCTTTGACCACTTTGAGAAACGCATCAATAGTAAAGCCAGAAACATCTGGAGTTCTATTTGAAGACCGCCATTCCACCTTTAAAAATTCAACAAAACGCTTTTTTACTGGGACCCCAATTCTCAATTTTGGTGGTTGATTTGTTGTGTCCCCCGGCCATATTGGTGACATTATTTTCTCTCTTGAACTCCAGTGTTTGTCGTGGAATAGTCCTCTCTGTGGGCTCCAACATCCAATGACCCTTTCTTTGCGTCCTACCACATTAAACACTTCAAGCTCCAAGGGTTGGAGTTGTCCTTCGCTCAAATTGAAATTCCCAGAGAGGCCTTGAAATTTTATATCTTGGATTTCATTTACAAGTGTCATAATCCTTGGAATTTGCAAACGTAAACTCTACTGCCATGGCTACCGCCCAAACTGTGTCATAAGCCCAAAGTCCAAACAAGGTTAAAGGAGAAGACACGCTACCTGATTTAATTGACCAAGCTTTCCATCTATCTCTGAAAATGGTAAGCCCTCTAGACTTTTCCAGTCTTGGCCTCACCCCCAGGACGCCTTGCATAGAATCCATCACTTTCGGACCCGAAGGATCTAACACATTGGATAACCCATCGGTGACTATCCACCCATACCCTTCTGTCATCGTTCTAGCCTTTTCACAGCTGAGAAGAATTGGGGACCAACAAGACTGGTCATGTGAACAAGAAATATTCCTTTTCGACTCTGATTGAGCTTCTTCAGCTCCTCTAAAATCTCATATTCCTCAGAATTCGGATCGATGGCAATTCTGTAAGGCACCCGTGTGTTAACTTTCTCCAAGGCCTCTGTGAGGTATGGGATCAGACCCTTGCCATACTCGGTGTCTTCATAGATTGGGAAGATTTCGTGCCATCCGTAAGCTTGAACAACGGAAGCTATAGCCTGCACCTGTGAGCGATCATCTTGTGCTGTCCTTATGAAGAATTTGCTCCGGAGGGGAGGAAGAGATGGACTTGTGGCTGAAAAGGAGACGATGGGCAACCTGAAATTTGTGCCCAAGTCGTATTACGAAACTCGCTTGTTCTGAAAATAAAGGTCCGATAATTGCATGCACGTTTTCATTCTTTATCAAATCGAGAGCTGCATGGGTATAATTTCATGAGCTATTAAACTAATCAATGGACACTTTATTTTAATTAATAAAATTTGTGAACTGATCTTTTAATTGTCGAAGGAATATGATTCAAAATATCAAAATATATATCAGTTGACTGAAAATAACAATTTGGGGCTGCAACTGATAAAAATATGTTACCTGCAGATGCTGCAGTGACGGCATCATTCATAGAATCGCTGATTCGAAGATCAAGTCTTGTTTGGTAATGAGAATAGTGTTTATAGAAGTCATCATGAGCCATTTGAATGCAGCGCACAGCCATACTTCCGATTGAGGATTTGAGATCAACAACTACGCCTACTGGTATTTGTACTTGCTTCGCCTTCGAAGTTTCTGCAAAGAACCAAAGCAAAGTACAAAAGCCACGAAACCAGAGGCAAAGGTTAAAGTTCTTCTTTTTCTTCTGGCTTGACTTCGATGCTGGTTTCAAGTCCATGAAGGGGTGGGCTAAATCTCTTGAGAAGAACCACGCATATCAGAGAGACTAGGAAGGTGACATGTTCATCTTTTCATATCAACGAATTCTTTTCGGTCTTTGATGAGAGGACCAACTGTGATCAAACTTTGTCGGGGCATAACAGCATAAAGATTGAATATTGTATTCTTTCTTTGAAAGTTCGGTTCACATTTCCATCATCAGTGAGAAATCAGCATCCAAGTCAGACAGTCGGCATCAACGACAATTCCACAAGCAAGTTGGAATCAAACTTCAACGACGATATTAATTACTACCCCCTTCCATAATACAAAGATTTTTGTGACTTATTTTAATTATAAATATAAAACCTCTATTTACTTTATTTTTTAAATATATATTTTTAAAAATTACATGTGCATATATGTTAAAAGGTTTTTTTATAAGGAGTTCAAACAAAAATAATTTAAAAACATAATTTAAAGAAATTAAGACACATTATATTTGAGAGAGGAATCCATATTTAAGATAGGTTGGTGTATATAAAATACTAGTATAAATCCGAATCAGTTTCAATGCTCATTGCTTTGATAAGCATCTTTTTTGGATTTTTCCATCCGGTATCCCAGGGCAATAGGCATCTTTTAGTCGTGACAGCGGCCCCAGACTAATCCGGATCGAAGGCTTGCAAGGAACCTTTTGGTCGGCGCCCTCTGGCCCCTCAGGGTGCTGCGTTCCCACGGCTCGAACTCGAGACCCGTGGTTAAGCTAGGACAGCCCTAACCAGCTGACCTAACCCCTCAGGGTTTTTGATAAGCATCTTAAACTCATCAGATTTGAACAATTCATATCTCATTTAGATGGGTATGATTTAATTTTTTTTATTTTTATTTGTTTAAAATAATTATTTTAATATAGATAAAATCTAAAATAAAGATAATCTCTCAACTATCATTTTTTCAAAAAATAATTTTTTATTTAAAATAATTAATTAAGAATTTTAAATTTAGACTATTCAAATCATATATAAATAACCCATATTTAATGAGCTTAAAGCCCTCAACTAGTACTCCAGTATAAATCATTTAATTTTTCCAATTGTACGGAAGGCCCTCAACTACACATGGGTCTGTTTGGAATTGTGGTGGGCTCGCTCAAAAGTGGCGTTTGGGTTTCAAAAGCTTGTCGGCTCATTTACTCATCTTTGGGAAGGCTTTTAAAATTAAGTGCTTCTGGCCCAAAAATCATTAAAAGCCATGGTAGACGAAAAACCGCTTTTTATTGCTTTTGGGGGCGTCACGTGGAAAGAAGGCATTAATATTTAATAATTAATTGAATAAACAAATTAACAGTTTAAATTGATGCTCTGATATTACTGTTATATGGGTGATGTAAATTAGAATTAGTAAATTTTTATATGGATGCTTGTTATTTCATTATTGTTAGATGTTAAAATATTTATGTATACTTACAAATTCATCTATGAAATATTGACACGTTATTTAATTATTGTAAGTTGTTAAAATGTACGTATAAGTACGCATAAATTCTCTTATGAATTTGACCCAAATTTTATGCTATCATGTTTGTCCAACTTGTGACTTGAAGCTGAAAGTGTTCTGTTCTCTCTTTTCAGGCCATCAGTTTGAATTGGCAGTTTCACACACACACACACACACAAAAGATGCCTTATAAATTATAATAATAGGTAGCAGAGGGAGTAAGATTCACTTCTTTATAATGTATCAAATCCTCCACTCGTCCTATTTATAGTTATTATACGCCTCTCAGCTTGTAATTTCAATTTGTGGATGTATACCTGAATCGTTTTTACAATTTTTTTTTTTGGGTTGGAATATGCCCATTACTTTCGGAACAGCGCAAGATCAAAAGAATGGGGTGAATAGGTAGAGATGACCTTTTTAATATGATATGATCTTTTTTCTTCATTTACGTACAAGGTTCTAATTCATAATCTTATTTATCAGATATTATCGTATTTATATAACATGTACATAAGTTTGCATGATATCTTATTATCGTAGAAGCATTTCCTAGACACTGAAAAAAATAATACAAGGGAGATCGAGTTGGTATGAAACTCAATTCTTCAAACTTATTCTGTTTCTTTTCGCCCGATATCTAGTTATAGTCAGAAGCACATATATTTCATATAAACTTGTAAGTTTCGAAGATCCAAATCCATGTAGTAACTGGTCTTGTTCATTCAAGAGGCAAAACTCTATCAGCAGCGAGGGTACGCAGTAATTATGGCTGTATCTCCCTCTACAGTATTACTAGTTGCAGGATGTACTCTGGAATCAGTTCTGTTCATAGCTAAAGAGCTATTCTTTCGTTTCAAGCACTTCACTATTCGAGCCTTTAACTGCAACAACCAAAGAAGTCTTTCTTCTGAACGAGAGTACCCAAACTTAAACAAATAGAACAGAAGTGAAATCCCAGAAGCGACCCCTGTGATGATGAAAAGCCCTCCAAAGCTGGACACAGTAAGACTCACGGGATTGTTTGGGATTGATGATCCATATTCATCTTCGGATGTGACTCCGCTGGAGAAGTACTTCCCCCTAATCCTTTGGAACTTTTCTTCATCTTGAGTCACATTTAGGATTGCCCTCGAAAAATAAGACACCAACGGAGATTTTAGGGGAAATGCCTGACCATATATATAACATATGTCAACGTTAGTAGTGTGACAAACCTTTATTTTGACCTCATTCAATTCAATAGTTATTTTTATCCTTCAACACAGCGTTAGCGCAATTAAGAAACTGACTTTCTAGAGGCAACTCAAAAATAATTTGAAATTTCTAACGTCAACGATGCATTGAAGACTTTACTAATCTTATTAATTAATGATTGATTTTGAGGGGAATACACTCGACTAGTTTTTTTTTTTTGGCCTGAATGACTAATTCCATTTATAGATTGCCTCAACATAATATGATTCACTCTTTATAAAGTTTTTAAACATATAAAATTTTCGCTTTTTTTTTTTGTACCAGCAACATATAAAATTTGTATTAAAACTTGATAACAAAATATAAAAAATGCTACGTGCATATACTAAACTCATACACCCTCTGGTCTCATATATGTAAGAAAAAAGATACCTACCTTAGATGAATGAATAAAACTGGTCAAAATTAATTGAAATTCTTAATTTAATCTCAAATAAAAATCATTTTTTTCAAAAAGCTCCCCTATTTTATTCACATTCAACAAACATATGAAAAATAAATGGGTGTTTCTACAAAATAAATCTTTTATCAACATTCTTTTCCCTTTTTTTTTGTAAGGAATCTTTTATAAACATCCTTTGAATTCAAAAGGATGCCTGAACTTTAATGAACTCCCGAAACTCAAGTTGTTTAAAGCTTAGTTATCAATATAAATAAATGGGCACCTCATATATAAACAAAATTCTGCTATATCACTGGGGGGCATAATTGGAAATTGGAATGTTATAATTAATATTCGGGCATTATTTGTTTGTTTCTTATATATTTGACCAAATCAATCCTTGGAACAAAAAAGTCTCTTATATATGACTAACACAACCAGAGGGAGTATCACTTAAACCTTTGAATAATATATATGTGAAAGGGCTTAAACAAACTTGAATTATTTTGTTCGACATTTGTAATCCTTAAACCTTCGTTTGCAATAAATTAATAAGGCTCATATTGAAGGCAAGATTGAACAAGAGAGAGAACTCACAAAGCCGAAACCTCCAGTTTTGTAGGTTGGTCCCACACTAGCATACTTGGAGCCGTATTTTGAGAGGAAGAGCTTCAAGTAAGGGATTTCATCAAAGATGGCAGCAACCTCACCACTAGCGAGAGCTCGATCATATTCTTCAGGAGTCTCGTACGGCTTCAACTTCGTCTCATCCTTGAATCCCAATTGATTCTTCAGAAGCATTTTGACAAAAGACCCCTTCATATACCCCACACAGTAATTATTCTTTCTTATCTCATTCACATCCATGAACTTAGGCTGCAGTCTTTGTACAGTTAACATGGAAGCCAAACTTGCAGTGTAACTTTGTGTTATGATGAGCACCACAAATACCCATAAGATCAGCAGAAAACGCGACCAATTGTTCACTAATCTTTCCTCTGTGTCACCATTAAACATAGTAAAATTTAATGATGAATATATGACTGTTGACCTAGAGATCATGAAATATGTAATGGAAGAGTTTAAGAGGAGATTTACTATGAGCAAAGACTATGGTGGAGAAAGAAAACCAGAACATGACGCCAAGTTGTTGCTGTGGGGATCCTTGAAATTCTGTGTTTGTACGACGTTCGTGAAGCCATATAATGATACCTGTGAGGACAAAGGCTGCACCTGTGGTCAGCCAAAGACCTGGACTCAAAGGCTTTAAGAAGATCCACATATTTTGTCTCTCATCGTGCTTCATCGAAACTACCATTAACACGCCAGATTCTGAATATGGCAACGTAAAATCAACATGGTCCGCACGATTAGCTACAATAGTTATGTCCCCAACCACAGCATCGTACACCTGCCAATATAAAATGAAATATATATTTACTTAGCTTGTTATATTATCCAAGGAATAGTACACTAGGATTTTTATCCTTAAACGAAAATAAACTTGCCTTTTTCTCAATTTGGAGAACAAGCTCATCATAGGACTCAGTACTTTCTCCTTTCTTCTTCTGGAATGCGAGGAACTCATATGGAAAAGGAAAAGGTAAAGCAATGATCACTTCTTTAAACACATCAATAGTAAAGCCAGAAACATCTGGAGGAGTACTATTTGACCGTGTTTCCACCTTCAAAAATTCATTAAAGCCCTTTCTTACCGGGACCCCAATTCTCAACTTGGTTGGTTGATTTCTTGCGTCCCCCGGCCATATAGGTGGCATTAGTTTCTCTCTTGAACTCAAGTGATTGTCTTGGAATAGTCCTCTCTGTGGGCTCCAATATCCAATGACCCTCTCTTTGCGTCCTACCACATTGAATACTTCAAGCCCTAAGGGTTTGAGTTGTCCTTGATTCAATTTAAAATTCCCAGATAGACCTTCGAATTTAGTATCTAGGATTCTATCTATAAGAGTGTCATTACCCTTGGGATTTGCAAATTTAGACTCTGCTGCCATGGCTATCCCCCAAACTGTGTCATAAGCCCAAAGCCCAAACAAGGTTAAGGGAGAAGACGCACTACCTGATTTAATTGACGAAGCTTTCCATCTATTTCTGAAAATTGTAAGCCCTCTAGACTTCTCCATTCTTGGCCTTACCCCTAAGACACCTTGCATAGAATCCACCACTTTCAGACCCAAAGGGTCTAACACATTGGATAACCCATCGGTGACTATCCACCCATACCCTTCCGTCATCATTCCAGCCTTGTTCACAGCTGAGAAGAATTTCGGCCCAAGAAGATTAGTCATGTGAACAAGAAATATTCTTTTTCCACTTTGATTTAACTCCTTCAGCTCCTTTAAAAGTTCATATTCATCAGAATTTGGATCGATGGCCCTTCTGTAAGGCACTCGTGTGTTAACTTTTTCCAATGCGTCTGTGAGATATGGGATCAGACCCTTGCCATACTCCGTGTCTTCGTAGATTGGGATGATTTCGTGCCATTTCAACAATGGCAGCTATAGCCTGCACCTGTGAGCAATCATCTTGTGCTGTCCTTATGAAAAATTTGCTTCGGTTTGGAGTGAGAGATGGACTTGTGGCTGAAAAGGACACGATGGGCACCTCATATTTGTGCCCAAGTTGTATTACGAACCTCGCTTGTTCTGAAAATAAAGGTCCAGTAATTGCATCCACGTTTTCATTCGTCATCAAATGGAAAGCTGCAAGGGAATAATTAATATCAGGAGCCATTGGAAACAGAAGATTAAAATTCTTAAAAAAGGAATTCAAAATGTTAAAATATAAGTCAGTTGACTGAAAATAACATTTTAGGGCTGCAACTGATAAAAATATATTATCTGCAGATGCTGCTTGGACGACATCATTCTGAGAATCCCTGGTTCGAAGATCAAGCCTTGTTTGGTAATGAGAATAGCGTTTGTAGAAGTCATCATGAGCCATTTTCATGCAGCGAATGGCCATTCTTCCAATTGAGGAGTTGAGATCAACAACTACCCCTACTGGTATATGTGTTTCCTTGGCCTTCGAAGATTCTACAAAGAAACATAGCAAAGAACAAAAACAACGAAACCACCAGAGGCAAAGGTTAAAGCTCTTCTTTTTCTTCTGGCTTGACATGTTCATTCTGATTTTATAATTTAGCTACTCTCATCTCTTATTCTCTTATCTCTTATATATATATATATATATATATAGAGAGAGAGAGAGAGAGAGAGAGAGAGAGGGAGGTCAAGTCCGTGAAAAGCCGGGCTAATCTCTTGAGAGGAAGCACACATATCAGAGACGAGGAAAGTCACATGTTCATCTCCATAGATTCTGTCTCTAGCTTCCTTGAAGTTTCGATGGTACTATATATGACTTAATTTTCCAACTTATACCAATGAAATTCCCTCAGTCTTTAATGAGAGGACCCATTGTGAAATTGTGATCAGACTTTGTTGGGGCATAGCAAAATGATGGTAAATCCAAATGAAGTGACATGTTCTAGATAGAATATTCTGATCGTTCTTTGGAAGTTCATTTCTATATAGATTGTTTAATTTTCCAGCTTATATATATGGGAGCAAGGACGCAGCACATAGAACAACTTTTGACGTGAACTGTTTGTCTCCCAAAAAAAAAGGACAAAAATTAAGCTTATTTACTTGAAGAAACTCGACTCGAAGGAGTATATGCGTAGGGTGTAATTAGTAGTTAACAATTATTACTCTTCTATCTGTGTTACCCACTGCTCCCTTTGATTCACAATATAAGTTATTTAATCAATTTATCAATATAAGAAAATGATCGTTTATTCATTAAATGTGTTTTAATTTGAAAATTTTTTCCAACTTTACCCATATCAAATGAGGTTGTGAAGAAGAGAGAAAAATACAAAGAATTACATTTAAACAGTAATTACAGAAATGAAATTGATAAATAAAAATCAATTATTCTTCAAATAACTTATGTTTTGGATCGAGTCATTCTTCTAGGAACAACTTATATTATGGAGCGAAGGGAGTATAACGTATCTTTGGCAGACCTCTCACATAAACCAAATTAAATACAGTTAACTCTTTTATGAGCGAAGAACAGACCGAATTAATGAGCCAGGCAATTTTTTATTTGTCAAGGATTTTTCAGAATAAAAGCTAATTAACTGCTTTTATACTTTGCAAAATGATTTATAAAATAAAATATAAAATTCTGTCTTATAATGCTCATCCAGCTTGTGGCTTGATGGATATTGTTAAAGGTGTTCTGTTTTGTGGGGCCAAAAAAGGTAATAAAAGTGTTTTTTTTTTTGTCTCTCCCCCCAGACCACGAATTTGAATTGGCATCAGTTTCTCACACACAACACAAGATGCCTTATAGTGGCAGTAGCAGAGGGAGTATGATTCGCATCTTTATAATGTAACAAATACTCCCACGAATTGTTTTTCATAAGATAAATAAAAAGTTGGGTAATAATAACAAATATGTCAAAAACTGTAATTTATTTTTTTAAAAAAATTCCCTTGTTTGTGAAAAAAAGGGTGGGAAAGAGAGTGAGTAAAAAAAGAGATGAGAAATAATGAGTTAAAAATTGATGAGAGAAACATATTATTAATTAGAAAAATATAAATATACACACACACACACAAATGTTCAGGCATTTTCAAGCTATGGCTGATAAAAAGACTAAATACATTAACAAAAAATTCAGCTTAAAAGAGGATCGAAGATAGTATATCTGTGTTGGAAAAAAACTTTTTAAATTAAAAATATTGCCATTTAACCAACTCATAATTCATGAATGAAACAATTAATTTGGCTGGCCAAAAAAAATGAAGCAATTAATTTGTTGGGTCGATGAATTACTCATCTTGTTATAATGCACTTCCAGCATATTTAATACAAATAAAAAAACTGTAAAATGCATTAACTCTTTATTAAAATATAATAAATTTTTAACTTAACCCATGTTTAATATATACACCTGATAACTACCTACACTATAATAAGTAAATGACAAAACAGTACATTCATGTTGAAAATTTAATAAAGTGACTTATAAATAGGATAAAAAAAACCTTTTCTCTGTCTTATAATTAGGATTAGAGGAATAATTAACCATTTGTCCTGATCAATAAATGTCTATTTAGTTAGATGGAATTTTCTTTTGTTTTGCCTTTGATCATTAATATCACTTTTGTAGAATAATAGCTGGAGATTCCTCTGACTAGGTCAACCACGTCGCTTTGACTAAGTTAATGCTAAGGCGACTTCGATTTTGCAAGAGAGCTGAATTTCTTATCGCTTGCTGGATTTGACCATCTTTACATTTTTCTTAATTTCTTCATTAATTTCAACATTTTTTTTAACGTGATACTGGGCAAACCAATAAAGAGGCCTATTAACAAGTGGAATTTATTTAATTTAATTTCTATAACTTGTAGCGTTTTTTTACTTAAACATCGGTTAATTTAAACTTAGTTAAAATAGCAAAAACTTTTACTATTTTTTTAGAGTTTTTTCTTCTAGTATTTTTTTCCCATGTAGACTAAGGTTAATCTCTGTTCGTGCTGTTAATTGATAAGCTTTACTACAATTTTCAAGTTTCAAAACCAAAAAAGAGTGAAATTCTTTTATACATTTTTTCTTCTACATGGATGATTAAGAGTTAATATAATATTTGATCCCTCAAATTTATTATCATTTTGGTTTTGGTCCTTAAGGAGTAAAATAGTCCATATTTTTATTAAATTATGGGGACATATTTTTTGAATGAAAGGAAACTTGAAGAACAAAAACTAAAATGAGAACAAATTTAAATGATAAAAAATGGTATTAGGCCATTATAAAAGTAATATTTAGTTAGTACGTAAAAATCAGTTTTGGAAATGATTTCAGTAATACAAACTCAACTCTTAAATTAAAAAAATGGAGTTCTAGATATGTGATATGTTAGTTATCGCACGAAAGGATTAAAACGAAAAAAGAAAAATCAATATATGTTCGTTATCGATGACTGTTGACGACTATATTGAATATTCATTCTATGGTTGAATATAGACTTGAATCATTCTCGATAGAGACTAGTGTGAAGACTAGGGCCTGTAGAGGCGACCCCACGCCCAAGTTTTGGTTGAGACTTTCTCTGCACATTTAAATTTTATTAAGTTCAACTATGATATTAGTTTGATTAAAAATAATTAGATTCGTGGAGTTACACGTAATCTTCCTAGATTTTGAATTATGTAAATAATTTATTTGTCATTTGAAACTTGATAATGCATGAATGACCCTCAATCTTTATACAAGTTTGGACTTGTGCAAATTAAATAATTTTCTTACTCTGTATTACCTTTTCCTTTATAGAATATATGTTAGTAACATTATAGGGCGTTATCTATACATTACTTAAAATGTGCGGCGCTTATTTGAAGATATAAGCAAAAGTCTAAAGTGGTTATCCCTACAATAACAAAAGTGTGAGGAGATATATTGTTTATGAGACGGGCGGAGGGTCATCCGTCATCCTGGTCTCTTCGGGATCAGAACAGGACGAGACGTCCCCTTTCTTTTTTTAAAAAATTTATAATTTTGAGCATGGATTTTTTATGTTATAATATTTGTTTTTCATATTGGGTTTCTAAGATAAAAGTATTATTAAAAAAATATCTCACTGATCCTATTTATAAGCTTCAAACTTGAAGAGGAGTGTTATCCATTTTATAATTTTCAATTTGGATTTGTTCAACATTTGATGCATTTTTTTCACTTTTGTCCTTAATTATTTATTCTTTTTCCTTTGACATACTCTCTCTTATTATTACATTTTCTTATATATTCTATTTCACCATTTTTCTCATTTATAATAGGGGTATATTTGAAAACAAAAGTATATTTCTAATATATTTGTTACTTTTAACTAATTTTTTTTGTTATTCTGGAATTAGTTATTTGAAACTTAAAATAGGGACCGAAGGGAGTATTTTGTAGAAACCTCAATCATATAGTATAAAAAAGGTATAAAAATAATATTGTAAAAAAAAACCCTTAAAAGAAACACTATAATGACTTTATGAATTTATTTTATTAAGAAAAAAGATTTTGTTGAGATAACACTACAATTTAAGAGCTGAAAATCACTATAAAAAATAATTATTATTAGTATGTGAATTAAATAATTTAATATTAATAAATAAATTTTTTTCAAAAAAAATCCCGAGATGGGATGACCACATCCAGTATTTTGTCCCATCTCGGTTATTGGTTCAAAATTTTTTTTTATCCCTCCCATCCTATCCCAAATTAACTAGGGGGTGTTTGGCAATCTCCAAACCATAGTTTCAGAAGCACTTTTCCGCAAAATGAGACAAATTCCTTCACATATTTAGTTCGTAAACCGTAAAAACACTTCTGAAACTATAGTTTGGTTTCTATTTAAACACCCCTAAGACCGAAATGGAATAGGACAGTTGGGACGAGACAAGTTGAACATTTCTATATTTATGACATATGATATTAGTAACACAAAAGACTAATTAATGACAAGAAAATTAATTATTTGTTCAGATCTAAAAATTTTGAAAAATTTATCCTCAGATTTTAAATATTATATGAGCTATTTGCACATAAGTCAAAATAATTTAGGGTGATTTGTTGTGGAAGAAATTTTGTGTAATTTAACTGAATAAATTTGAGCAATTTATAGACGCGGACACAATCTGATCATTCAGCAACAGTATCATGATTGGCCACTGAATATTCAAAACAGACCAAGGCAGTGTATTTGAATCTGTCAAGACCCCATCAAAACTCAATTAAGCCTCTTGTTTTCTTTTCTGAAAAAATGAAATGATTTAATGAGATACACTAATTTACAGTCGAACTAGTTATCGTCTGGCAGAATTTTCACATAGGGTCCAACTTCAAATTTGATTTCCAAAAATTTAGGGGAGAAAAAACAGTACCGTTAATTTTTTTAAACGGCTGTAATTATTAAACTCCCGAACAAAAATATGACAACATGTGCATTTTCCCTTTTACTAAGTTTCTCTACGTATCCTTACAAATTAATTTCTCAATTTCTTCACGAATCACACAAAGGAAAGTAATTATAAATGTTATCTTTTCTAAAGTGTCACCAAAGGGAAAAATTTGGCGACAAATTAAATGTGGAAAAAACAACGGACACTCCCCATAAATCCAGAGACTTGGCCTAATTTGCATTGGAGAATAGTATTGGGCTGGTCAGTCTATTAATGAGCTATTGGGCTTTTATGTGTTAGTTTGCGTGTATGTGTATGGCCCGGCGGTTAATAACATGTAAATTTCAAAAAATAATTATGTCAATCATCTAAAACGATTTTCAAATAACCACCTTCGACAAAGGGTAATATTTCTATAACACTCCTCCGGTCCTAAATATAAGATCCATTTTATAGTATATATTACACTATAAATGGACTTTATATTTAGAACCGGAAGGAGTATCAAAATAATTGGATGAGTTGAATTTTTTTTTTTTAAAAAAGAAGAACCTTGCATGAGGAAAAAACAGATTTACAGCTAAAACAAGAGTCTGCATATTCAATCATCACTACAATACACTTTCATGGGCAATATAATGATTAAGTATTCATGCAAGAAAGTGATCTCATAAGAGAGATTTTATTTTTCCATGTTTATTTGCTCCATCTTCCTATAAATTATTATTTTAATGACATTTTGTAGCTGTAAAACCAGCTTCTTTAGTTCTAAGTTAAAACTCTAGCTCAACATTAAGAATTGTTGGCTGTACGTTTTTGCCAATATAATTGGTTTTTGCCAAACACGATTTTCAGAAACTAGTAAAGCTAAGACCGAAAGCATTCCAATTACCATGAATAGACCTGCAAAACTATAAGCACTAAGGCTGGGATTTGCATTGTTTGCTGATGCATTATTGGATATGTCTTCTTTGCCTTCCTTGTGGATATCGTTGCTTCCAAAATATTCCTGCTCAATCCTGTCCATTTCTTCACTCTCTCTCACATTTAGTATGGCTCTAGAAAAGTAGGAGGTTAAGTTGGAGCCTTTTGGGAATGCCTGAAAAGTTGTATATGCCAATGTTTGAACACATGCATGTTAAAAACAAAATTAAAATTTGCAATCTTATTAATTAGATTGGTTACATTTCACTGGCAGGATTCAAATTATTAGTTAAATACTCTATAAGATGTGAGATTATTAAAACTAGTTAGTATTATTTACAAGTTATAAACAGTACTGTAATAATCATTCCCCATACTCAATCCATATCCCCTCCTAATTTGCGTCGGAATATTTTTATATATGCTGCCCTTCAACAATAGGAAATCTAAATAAGATTGGAAAACAGAGAGGGAGATACTTACAAAACCATATCCCTCATTGCGGTGCCTGGTTTCGACCAAGGCATAATTAGAATAACCATATTGATCTTAAGGTAGGAAATTTCATTAAAAATAGCATCCACACCCCCTTTACGGCTTCCTTTGTCCAAAGCCTCCTCGTACTCTTCAATACCGGAGTACTTCTTCAACCTCGAACTATCAATCTTCAAGTGATGGACAAATAAACCTCTCAAGAATGAGACACCAGGATATCCAATGTTAATGTTGGGATATTTACAACGTCATTGTCACTAGGATAACTAGGTTGTAACAGGTGTACTGTCAAAATCGATGATAAGCGTGCTGTGTAACTTTGCATCAGCACAAATGCTAACATCAGCCATAACACCAAGACAAACCTAGAGCCTGCTTTGGCCACTGATTTTCCTACGAATAGTTAAGAAATATAAAATTGAGAATAATTAGGCACAGCTTCTTGTGTGCTTTTTGCACAAAAGGCACTTTAAAGCAGGATTAGTTTAAAGATGCTCACTTTCAGGAAGGACCGCTTGCATTACAGGGAGCCACAGGATAGCAGAACTGCAGAGTTGTTTCCTGCAAGGTGAATCTTCATCGACTGGACGTTCCAGGAAGACTATGATACCTCCTATAAAAATACTAGAGATGGCTATGGAAAACCACAGATCCCAAGTAAAAGGTTGTACAAAAATCCACATATTCAACCGTGGATCATGACGAACCTTCACGAGCATCCTCATATCAGCCGGTCTATATCGTAATGTAAAATCTACGTACTTTGATCGATTTGCCACAATCGCCACATCTCCCACCACAGCATCATACTGTTCATCAGATATTCAAGTTAACTAATGTCTTTAATTTGTATACATGGAAGTCATAGACCAATCTTTTCTTTGTCTTGCTGGTCTCTCGTCTTCATATGAGCAGTAATATATATGAAGAGAAGATCGCATATGTAGTTTCTAACCTTTCCTTCAAAAATCTGATAGACGAGTGCGTCATAATTTCCAGCACTGTTTCCATGTTCGTCTACAAAAGCTCTGAACTCGAAAGAAATATTGTCATGTAAACTCTTACGGTAAGCTATTACGGCTTCGAAGGCGTCAATGGAAAAGCCCGTAGCTTTGACGACCTGATTCTTATTGCTTGAATTGAGTTCCAAGTCCACAAACTGGACGAAGCCGGTGGCCGGTTTCTTGGGAACACCTATTATCAACTTCTTTCCTCCTAGGAGTGAACCCGCGGCTTTATCATCATCGCCTGCTCTAACCTGAGCCGCTGACAACACAACACAAGTAATTATTACAAGGTAGCCGTAACAATAGTAATTTGGGGCTGCCATATATCTATAATGTGGCAATATAAGACAAAATTAAAAGCTGGCTAGTTTGAGTTCATGCTGTTAATTAACTTCATTTATATAGTCGGCATGTGTGTGTGTGTGTGTACATTATCAGAAATGTTCTCATGAATTGAACAGAAACTCTATTCTAATTTTTTTATATGACGGATTTAGACGGTCCAAATCATATTATTTATATCCTTGTTCTCACCCGTATTTTTCCGGTCAAGTTTTAAGGAAAATTCCTCATTGAAAACTTTATCAGTAAGGAGAATCTAAATCAAGCTCCTCACCAATAAAATAGGATTTTTTTTCCCAATCCCCCCCCATTTCTATGGTAAAATTGTTGTAGCAGCCATAAGTACTAAAAATATGGAATTCTAATTTTTCAGCTAATTTTTCACTACTTATGTTTCATATTCTCAATATTCAAATAAAAAAAGTATTGAGAATGTTAAAAAAATTTACAAAAATATAACGAATTTCAATTTTCTTAATTTACATGAACTAGTTAATTGAAAATTAGATTATAAAGACTGTGAAGTGAATATATGTTAGTACTCCTCCGGTCCTTAATGTAAGACCCATTTAACTAATTTGATTAGATTAAGGAAGTTAGGTAAGTTAGTTAATTATAAGAAAAGTGACACATTTTTCCTAAAACACCATAATCATCTTTTTTAATACCTCCTCTCCCTCTTCTATTTAATTATGGTTGAGGGAGTGTCTATAGGGGTAATTTAGAGAAAATTGATAAATATGATAAACGGGTCTTATATTTAGGACCAAAACCAATTCAAGAATTGGGTCCTATATTAAGGACCGGAGGAGTATCATTTAATATTTATTGCTATTTCAGGGGAAGCTTCATTGCAATTACGGGAATATTTTTTTCGCCGACGCAGTTAGGGGAATTCGGAAGCATACGTAACCATTCCTTCACTTAACGATCTGAATGTTTCATGACCGTACTTTCAAGTTCGCTTTGTTTTTAAATCAATAAAAATAAATTCGTTCTTACTCGTCAATATACCCGATGCACCGTTTTTCATTTCCTCATGTGATATTATTAAGCGGTAAATGGAATTGAATTAATTATTGATTAATTATCTTTTCATTAAAATCAATCTTCAAAATTATTAATTGAAAGTTATATTTATTGCGTTACATTTTGTATAAAAATAAAAATTTGAACTATGTAAATTTTTTTTTTTGGACAGAGAACTATGTAAATTAGATTTATAAGACTTAAGTAAATGGACAATTCTAACGCATCCTTAAATTAAATAAATTAAGAACATGTAATTAAATTAAGTATATATTTAATTAATTTTTAAGAATATACTATTGGATTTAAAAAAATAGTTGTATTTACTCATTATATTATAGTGATATCATGAGCATATTCTCATTTGTCTTACTTCTTTGTAAAAGATTTGAAGAGAATTGGTCAAAAGGGAAAAGAAAGTCCGAGAGATTGAATGAGCTAATTAAGACTCAGGACTTTAATTTGAAATTAGAAAGATGTTTATAATCTATGATGAACATCGATAACTTTTTGATGTAGCTTAAAAGAAGACATAGTTCTGGGTTGTTAATACTCAAGTGGCAGATATAGTTGGTCCTAGTGAGAATGACATGTTTGCTATTTATATGAATAGTATCAGTGTCTTTTCATGGAAGCTTCATACAAAAAAAAACATTCCGTTGATCCTTGACCTAAACGAATTTCTTTGTATACTAAACAGAAAATTAAATAAGATTAAGTTTTTGTAGAAAAAATTTTAATGCCGTGCCTTCCTGTGTTTTTCAGTCAAGAGTGTTGGAACATTGAAGACTCGATTCAATTTCCAAAGGTAGCTTAGGCTTGAAGCTAACTCTCAAGTCAAAAGGTTGAGAAAATTATTATATACACAAAAAAAAAGAAAGAAAATCTAACAGTCTAGAGAGTAGCCCACCCAGAAACCCTCGAAGGTGCAGATTAATGATTAGTTATCTCCCGACCTGGACTGGTCTAGTTGCATATATGCAATGATATTGTTGACATATATATTTTTCCCCAAGAAAAATCAATAAATATAATCCTTTATGTAGTGCTACTATATTTACATGTCAATTTTTGAAATGATTCAACAAAAACATAATTTTCCAAAGACCTCTAATAGATAGATACATTTCAAACTACGTGTTTTTTAAGGACATAAAAGATTAATAAAGCTAGAAGTTTGAATCTCATAAATAACAAGATTTATTTAAGGACTTAATCAATAAACATATTTAAATATGAATTCTTCAATAATACCTATTTATTAATACATGATATTTGTAAAAAATTAATGAATTAAATGATGAAATCCATTTTAGTAGTGCTACCTCATTTTGCTGATTATGTTTATCTCTTTTCATACTTTATTAAAATTTGCATTCACATAGACGTACACGGACTCAAGACCTCATATTTAAGTGGTTAAAATTTCCTCCACTAGAACTAATGTTAGTTTTTTTTTTTAATTATCGAACATTTTAAATCATGTATTTTGCACTAGCTGTTCATGAAGGACCTTTAATTTTTCTTTTTCAATCAATGTTATTATTGATGACGGTCATCTATCTTTTCTTTATAATTTACTTTCTATGGTTGAACATAGACTTGACTCATTCTTTATACAAACTAATGTGAAGACTGACTATAGGGTCAAAATGCCCAAATTTTAGCTGAGACTTTGTCATCACATTCAAGTACAACTATGATATTATTTTGAAGGGGGGAAAATAGATTGGCGGAATTGCCCACAATCTTCCTAAATTTTAAGTTGTGTAAATACCTTTTTTTTTGGAATTTAAAACTTGATAATTGACCCTCATAAAATTTTTGAATACTTTACAATTTATTAGCACGCTATTCATTTTTTCCCCTTTTGGCCAAAATATTAGTATGCCACTTCACTATAAGAATGAAATGAGAGTGTTATCTACACATTACTATAAGACAATCATTTGAATATCATTAAAAGTTATATCTATTTAATAATACAAATTTAAGAAGGTATCTCCTCTGGTTCTTAATATAAGAATTAGATAATTAATTTATAAAAATTAAAAAAATTAGTTAAGTTAATTATTTGTGATAAATGTATCTTAGTTTTCCATCAAACACCATATTTCCCGTTGTTTGTTAATGATATTCCGGTTGTTAATTACGTGAAATCAATACAATTATTAATGGGGATTGAAATATGATGTCAGGCCTACAACTTGGTCTGACATACCAAGCTTAAGTCAAGTCAGTCCTGTTAGGAAGCCTACCAAACCAGCTTGATTAATATTCATAATATACGCTATTTAAAAAATATATTAATATTATCCATGTGAATTATACATGTAATATATTTATAATCAAGTAATATAATATACTACAATACAATACAATACAAATACAAATATAATTTATATAAATTCATGAGCTGTATGTTCATGTTTATGGCCTATATATAATACTACATTTTACAACTTAATTAATCAATTGGAGGCCCATGTTTAATTTGGATAAAGAGTTTGAAATAAATCATATCATTTAAGGCTTATGAACAATATTGAGCCTTTCTAAGCATCAAATAGTTGGCAAGGTTATATATGATCCGCTTGCAATTCAATATTTTGATTGTTTTCTTTGGCTGTAAAACCTTCTCCATCAATAGTTCTTCTTGTTGTCGAACCTCCCTCTAATGGACTAGTTTTTGTAAAACTCCAACCAATCAGCAATTGTGGGCCATGTGTTCTTGCTAGGATAACAGGTTTTTGCCAAATACGACATTCAGAGACTGCCAAAGCTAAAAGTGAAAGAATTCCAATTACAATGAACAAACCTGCAAAGCTATAAGTGGTAAGGTTGGAACTTGCATTGTCTGATGATGAAGTAGATAAGTCTTGGCCTTCATAGTTCTCATGGTGTTTGCATTGTGAAAGCACTCCTATATCGCTATGATGATGTGAAAGCACTCAGTATCTCTTTCGGCTCCCTTGGGGTTGCTGGAAACTACTCCTCCGGTCCTAAATATAAGATCTTTGTACACTAGTGTGTATAAGAATTTTATATTTAGAACTGGAGGAGTATTTTAGAAGCTTTTCTCACAAATGCAAATGTAAACAATATCACAAGCTTACCGATTTACACTTTGCTATCTCTTGCCATACCTCTTACAAAAATGAAGGGAAAAGTTCTTGAGAAAATTTTCTTGAAGATCGCCTGCAGAAAACAGATATGCTGTTGCCAGTTCATATATCGTTTTCTTGGTGCTTTTATGTTTGACTCTGCTTCTCTGTTGCAACGTGATATAAGGAACCTGAGAGGGTTTGGGATAATGTAGTTTACAGAGAGGCTTTGTCGAGGCCAATGTTGATGATGGACTTCTGGAAATATTTGGTCCAAAGCAAGGGTGGCATGCATCATTTGTAATGGTTGAACTAATCTCTGCAAAGCACATAGCTGAGGTATTATCCCAATATATAATGAAATATAATATATCATGTCAACAATGAGCTAAAATCAGGATCATAAAGTGCATGTAAAGTTGGATACTTGTGTATATGTTTCAGGTAGCAGTGATTCGATTAGAAATAAGAGGCGGGGAGTGGAGAGATGCTTATATGCAAATGGATGGAGAGCCCCTGGAAGCAGCCTTTAAGAAGTGAATTCTCTACCTTCGTGCAAATCAAGAGGGAGCCTTTCCAATCATATATGATTAGTGGAGACTAACTAATTGCTTCAAACAAGAAGTCATCATATATATATGTAAATTAATTACGTGTAATTAATGAATTATAGGCATTGGAGAGGTTTGCTGCGCAAATTTTAATCTGGTTATAAAACCCGCTCCCTTTTTTTGATGATGGGAAAGATGTATAGTTTTCATAAATTTTGAGCGAGTACATTTACATGGTCAGATTTTGACTATAGTCATTAATTACTAGATATTATTCATTTTACTAGAGCTATTTAA